AAATGTGTTTATTGTGAAATTTTAATAGTAGAAATAACAGTAATAATGATAATTATAATAGTTTTCTTTTCCGTGGCAACCAAATTATCATCCGTAACGCCAAGGCAACCCTTAAATAAACAAAAATAAGTAAATAAGCAATTAGATATTTCTATCAAATATACCTAAAAACTCCTATTTTAGCCACTTAAGGATTGAATTTTCAAAAATCCTTTCTTAGCGGATGCCCACATCATAATAGCTATCTGTGTGCCAAATTTCAGGCCGAACCATCCAGTGATTTGGTCTAGGCGATGATGAATCAGTCAGTAATTCAATCAGGACATGTTATTTTATATATATATATAGATAACAAATCATATTTCATAATATTAATAGTAATATTTAATTGTTTATTTTGTATAATTTGATGATTTTAAAACTACTTTGCCATCGGCCAATCTATTATGCCGCTTCTCGTGTACAGCAACCGTTGCTGGCAATGATAGGTCGTTTAGCAAATTGAAATTAGTCAAAACCCATTTAAGAACAACCCAAGAAGACTAAGTTAAACAATTTGATGTTGTTTTTTTCTGAAAAAGATTTTGTAGATGTAGTGTCCAATAGATAATGAATTATATTCAGGGACGTACCGTGGAGGTTTTTATTTTTTTTAACGGTACACACAATTAGCTATTTCACCACGAGAGCATTTTACTGTATCATTTTAAAAATAAATATTTTATCATAATAAATTGTAATTGTAAACACGAAGATTGAAGATTAAAATAATTAATAATTATTCCTACTGATCCATCTATTAATATATTAAATTATATATTTTATTATTTTATTGCACATTTTTATAATTATTGATAATGGATATGTTTTTATAATCTATTATTATTATGCCTTGAATTTTTAATTTACTAATATAGTTAAAACATTTTAACAATACAACAATGAAATGGAAAACATTATCAGTATTTTTTTTTTTTTTGGTCTAAGACAAAGCTATGTCAGGTATAAATTTGAATTGCCTATACCTTTTTTGTACAACCCTAGGAAAACATAGTTTTTCTATACGCATGCCAGGGAAATGTTTCCCCAACCAAATTCTGATCAAATAAAATTTCCCTTAATACACAATTATGTACTTTTTTTTTTTTTTTTTTGTAAAACTCAGTAAGCAAATTAAAACAATTTGTACACCTCCTTAAACACGTGAAACCCGTTCTTAGAAATATTTAAAAAATTATAAATTATAATTGCCTATTAACTATTTTAAGAAAAATAAATATCTATCATACATTTTTAGATTTTCTCAAAAGTTTTCTCATCAAATGCGAAAAACCGAAAAAACGGGAAAATGTACCTACGGAATATATTAGAACAATATTACGATTTTTTTTCTGTAGGCAACTTTTCTACCAGCAATTTTGCTCAAACATGTAATGATAGCAATTTTCTAAAAGTAAATTTCACTGGGGAGGTATTTTAGAGAGGTCGTTTTTCGATTTTCCCCGGAGTTCTCTCAGCAAATGTGAAAAATTGGGGAAAAAACATAGGTAAACCAGGAAAAATGTAGGAAACACGGGAAAATCGGCACAACATTAAACAAATATTATTAAAAAAAAAAATACGTAGAGCCCATTTAATTATTTAACTGTAATATGACATATATATATTGCTGACAAAGTATCACTATCAACTGAACTCCGCTCAGAATCGTTTTTTCGTAAGCAATGGTTTATCGTTGCTTACAGGTATACTTTAAATTACCTATAAAAGTGGTTGCACAGGTTTTTTTTTTCATAATCCCAAGTATCACATAATTATGTGCTTAAGACGATAGTGCGATTTAAAATTTAATATATCTTCTTGCTGCATACACATTTTAAATTATAATTAAGTAAAATTATTGAATTCAACACAAACCAAATTTTACGAAATTGACTAGAATAGTTTTATCTACTATTAAAAAACTAGAAATGATATCAAAATTATAATCACATCAGTGTCATAAACATAAAAAAAACACTAAAGGTTGCACAAAAAAATTTTTAAAAATATTATATTGAACGATTGAAATCGTCGTGTTAATCTAGACACTTTTGCACGTAAAACACGCCGCCGTTCCGACTTCGGCTCTATGACGTCGCACGCGTATTTTCAAACGCTTGTATCTCATTGAATAATTAGTGTTTAAGGCCCGGTTTTACAATTCTATATTTTATCCGAAGAACAGATATCCCGAGTATAAAATCATACTACAAATTATCTAGAGTACGGAATATTTTGGTTTTACAATGTAATAAATTCTCTGGATAGCTCTGTGATATTCTTATAAAATGTTTTCTTTCCATGAGTTTGAGACGTCCCGGTTCGGTCGGCTTTGTTTGAGGGCCGACCCGAGCGCCCAGCTGACTACCCAGCTTATAAACTAATATTCACAGACAATTTATATTTTAAATATATGTTCATTGATTTGGGGCGTCAACCAGTCGTGAGTGTTGTCCGGACACAGATAGTGGCATCACGGGGAATGTGCAGACAAAGACGGACCCCCACGTGGAACGTTCGTGGACACCTCATGTACTGTGGAGACCCCGGCAGGACTGTGCGGTTGCCAGGTCGCACAGATTACCACCGGAAAGGGTAGCGGAAACGCATTTTGTTTCACCTTGACTGGTCCGTAGTTTCGGCGGCCCTGCGGGGTGCGTCCGAATCTGGATCGCGAAATGGGGAAAATCGATCTATATATATATATACATTCCTTTTTTAGATGTTCACACACGTGGATGCGAAACCTAGCACTTGGAGGGGATAAAAAAATAGGAGAAAATAACAAAAAACGGGGGGGGGGGTTGGCCTATCGCACTTAGGATGCGGAACGCGGGGATTTGCATAATGAGACGGACACACAAATCTAGCTGGTTGATTCCCATAAATATATCGGAAGGATTTACTACGCGAAAAAGAAAACATTTTATGTAAATAGATTAAAACTAATTGACTACCTAACGGGGTATTGGCCAATTACTAAATCATAAAAATATTACCGTCGTTCTCCCGAAGGTGTCCGCCCAGCGGACCAAATCGGCACTCACTTCATTGTTTCTGTTGAGGCACCATCATGAACCGTGGCCAAGGCACACGACCTTTTCTTGGCGGCAAAAATCGGTGAATCCGTGTAATACACGGGAGCATTTCATTAAGAGAACTGTGTCTAGAGACCGTCTGGTGACAGAAATCTCGAGACGAGGTCCAGACGCGGAGAAGGAAAAGAACGAACAGAAAATGAACAACTGGGTGGTGGAGCGCGGAGACGTTCGTGGCACACGTCGCCGCGGGCCGACGTTTTTGGCGATAACGGGAAACGTGATATGATTGGCCGTTAACCCGTAGTCAGAAATATTATATAATTGCGAATTGCCACTGATTTCGATCGCGTAAACCTTTGCGCGGGGGGGGGGAGAATTGTTGTTCGTGATGACATAACATCTCCGTCGACGCGGGCATTAATCTATCAACCGGTCGACCATATCGATGGCAGGTATGTCAGTCCTTTGATAACGGGTAATGGTCGTTTTTGGACGTTACGAGTTATTATGATAATATCTGACGATAACTGAAAACGATGAGTGTTAACCTTAACTGTGATGTTATAATTTAAAATTTAAAATTTGGATAGTATCAATAGTTTCACATCTACAGTTAAAAATGAATAATGTTAAATCTGATTATGACGAAGAAATTATTATGGACCATATTACGGCCTTGTGGCCTGATCATTTTTTATGGATAACATGATTCTCACTCGTGTCATTTAAAAATTTAGTAAATATTTGTTTTTGTATCATTTCAAATATTATACCATTATTAACGTACCTATCGTTTTTAATACTGCGATGTACGTGTAAGCATTGAATACAAAATATCAAAATATTGGTATATAACTGTAGATATTAATTTGAAATAAAAGCAAAAACAGTGGCATGCGTCGACTGGCCGGAAATAGAAAAATAAAAGGTTTGAAATCGATGGCAAACCAATTGAAGAATCGGAAAAAAAATTGATTGGGTAATTTGTCATTTAATAAAATGTCATTTGGTCCGTGTTTTATACAGTCAGAGAATTAGTACAATCAAATAACGTAGATGTTGATGATGGATGTTTCTCAACATATATATTATAAACATCGTATATTTTTTTTTAATATTAATATATCAGACAATTTAACATTGTTGAATGATTTCAAATAAATTTGGCGTCCGAGGTCCGGCCTTATCAAGCTCGTATTCAAAAATATTAAACTAACCAAATAAACTGTCTAAAAATACGTGGTGAACTAGTCTGTTACCGTGACGACACTGTTCTTTTTGTTGATGGTAACTAGTGGGACAAGGTGTTTTTTAGCACAAGAGTCATTAGGTGTTGTACAAAAGAAAATACAAATTAAAACAATTATGTTTAAATTATAAAAATGATACAATGATATACCAACAATTTTGAAAGCGTTTGCTTCCGCAATCAGATGCCGTTAACACTATTTTTTAATTCTAATTCATTTTTATTAGGTATACATTTATTATTTATTTGTTTTTTTCAATTGACAATTTCATAACATAATATTGATAACGCAGCAAATAGACTGATAATTATATTTATATTATATTGATTATATTATTATCATTTTGGTTTTTGTTTTTTCCGTTGGTTTTATTCCATATACCGTTTTTTCTCATTGAATTACAACAAAAAAACACAAATTAGGTACATAAGACAACAATATAATGTAGGTAGGTAAAAATGGATCTATGAAAATATCATGTTCAATTAAAACATTGAATGTATTATGAAAATATTTAGGACAATTCTTAAATCTAACCCTTCCTGAGGTAATCATAATAAGAACTGCAATTTATATTTACTATAATACCTACAAGGTAGTTAATATTGTTAGTAGATATTTTTTTTTTTTTAAGATTTTTAAAATGTTATTATTTCATGGGAAAAATGATAATTTTCGCCCTTATCACGAATTAGACTTATTAATTAATTAGACATAACCGAATATCCATTATCCGTATTCCGTATGGCGATGCCCGATTTTAAAGAAAAAATTATAGTTGTTTTATACCGAATTCTATTTGTTTGTACAAAATAATTTAAACATACCTACATAACTGAATAATTTTATATTATTTTTATTATTAAAAATGAGTCTATCGTCATCATATCAAACTCGTTATCCAGTTTTTAAAAAAGAGGAATTACATTTATTAGCAAGTTTGGTCAACAAGTATAGTCATATACTTGAGCGTAAACGAAGCAATGCTACTGCTGTCAAGCAAAAAAAATGTTTTTGGGATAAATTAGCCGCCGAATTTAATTCCCAAGGATTGTATGTGTATGTAAGTATATTAAATGATTATTTGATTATGGGTAAATGTATACATACATTCGTTATTATATTACCATTGTGTGTTGTGTATTATGTGTTAGGTATTATTATTGTATGTCCATACAAACTATAATTTTTTTTTCTTACAGCGTTCAGTTGAAAAACTGAAAAAGCGATATTATAATGGAAAAAACGATAAAATTGCAGAACAAAAGGCTCAAAATAGCATACCAATATCAACACCTAATAAACCCAATTATGATTCACTTTTACTTCAGGAAGCCGAGCTAAGAGTAAAAAGACAGCATTTACTTATTGCTCAGGACAAAATGTTATTCGAGTTGGCCGTACAAGAAAAAAAATTAAAAGTACAGTTGACCGAAGAAAATTTAAAACGTAATAATGTAATACCCCTTGTAATGGTTAAAAAAGAGTTTCAAGAAGGTAATTTGCACACTGATTAATGGATTGTCTCTAGAAAAATAGGTAACTTAACTTTTTTGTCTGAAATTAAATACAAATTCATTAAGTAAAAATAAATCTTAATTTTTTTAATAAAATAAATTCTTAATTTTTATTTACTTATCATTAATACCATCATATATTACATAGATATGTACGGTGGTGTTGCTCTCTATGGCCAACTTAAGACTCTTAATTCAAATTCAAAATTAAAGCATAAATATGTTATTAGTTAAACAATACAAAGTTTGAATTTCAAAATCTTGAGTACTTATGGAAATGAAAAATTATTATTATTATTTTAAAATTGTATTTTCCCTTTCGATAGTCATCTTACACTGTTTTTGTAATAATTGATATCAGTCAGTAAATTAATTAATGTTGATAAATAAAACAATAATCTTATGGCTTATCAAATTACAAAACTAAACTAGTTACATATATATTTATATATGGCCACTCATTAGTGGCCATTGCAGAGATATTGACCATAAGTGGTGACTTCGTCCAAAACCATCAGTCACACTTACAAATATATTTTTTTTTTTTATTTAGTAGGTATTTAACTTTAATGACTACAAACATTTTTTTTGTTAATTACAAATATTTATCAACGTAGACATTCTCTACCAAATTGTATAAGTGCTTTTTCAATAAATTGCTCTTTCTCTGAATTTATTTTTTCACAATGAACATTTGACTTAACATCTTGAATCAAAGCCATATTTTAACAAGTCATAAGTACTGAAAGAATGTTCTACTGTAGAACTTGTATCTGGTTGGGTTGGGACATAAATAGTCCCAAAGCAATTGCTATACTTGAGACAAATGTAATGACTATTTAAAAAAATCAATAAAGTTAATGCCTTACAGTCAAGATTTTGTCCAAAATTGTACCTACCAACTTTCTGCTTCAACTTGTAAATTATCAATTTTATAGAAATCATAACTTCTTTCAACACTCAAAGTAATATTTTTTTCTCAAATTGTTTAAAATGCATATTATTATTAAAACTAGCTAAGAATAGATAATTTTGTCATATTTAAAGTAACACATGATTATTGTAAATATTAATGTTTACGAATAACTAAGTTGCAATATTATTTTTTGTAATAAAATTTAATTTCATTACAATAAAGTAAAAAACAAAATTACAATAATATGTAAGATATTATGTTACTTTACAGTTTAAGACACAGATTAATTACATATGATATTCAGCATTATTTTATAAAATGCAATAAACACATACTACTTTTAACTGTAACTAGAGTAACCAATTTTTAATTTTTTTCAATGATCTATATATATATAGATAGCTAAAAGTTGTAATTATTAATAAATAGTATTGAAGGATAATAAGGTAAGTATGTGAAATTTAAGTTTTTATTTATCTCACTACATTGCTATGATTTCACTTTATTTTTAGGAAAAATTTATTTATAACTATGAATATTAATAATATTACCTATACAAAAATGTTATAATAATTATTTTAGCATTTTATTTTCTAATAATCTTCATAGGTATTTTCCTTGGAATTATTTATTGAGCCATTAGATATTCCAGATATTCCGAATGAAATCGGTACCTAGATAGATACTTAATGCGATAAATTTTCAAGTCTTTCATAATTTCTTCAATTCATTGTTAAGAAAACTGCTTAGAAAATTAATAACTGGCCAACTTGATAAACACAATTTTCTTTCAGAAAAAATGCAACTCTTAAATTTTGGTGCAAGATTTCTGAGAGAAAAACAAAATAGAAGAAATGTAAAAGATTTAAATTGTTTGTAAATTTGTTTTTCTCTTACGGTTATGCCAATTATTAGAAAAATCACTTGGAAAATCAAAAGTTACTTAAAAAATATAATTTTTTTTTTTATTTAAGATTAAGAATAATTTACTGTTCAAAACTTCAAAAGTTAAATTAATATTTTAGTACCTAGTATCATTGATTTTATAATAACAAATTATGACCATGCCATATATCTATAATTCATATACCTAAAACTATAAATTACTACTTTTTGGTTATCTAAACTACCATATTCATCATCCCCATTTACCTACCCAATGTGGTTTTGCCAACAAATAAAGATTTATTTTTAATTTACAAAGTCTGACATGAAACGAGCTAAACTTTGAACACAATATAGCAAATAAAAAATATTTAAATATAAGATACAAAATAATTATGAAAAATAGTTCTACAATTGTAGTTGAAATATTATCCATTTATGTATATACAAGTTATCAAGAGAAACATTAAGTACCACAATATAAAAATCATTTCTTCATAAATACGTCTTCAGATAAATTCATAATTTATACAAACCTTAAATTACAATAACGATATGTGATAATGGAATGTTAACTGAGAAAAGAGTTGCGTGTGAAGGCCACTTTCAAGAATAGACAAAATGAAGTGCCTTTAATGGCTAAAACATAATTTAAGAAATGTAATTTTAATTGTTTATATTTTATAGTTTACCATTTTATCAGTATACCAGTTCACATTTTTTGTCAGTATATTAGCCAAAAGTTGTATGGGAATATCTTTATAATTACAATTTAATATTAAATTGATATAATAGATATAATTGTTTACAGATATTCAACAACTTGTATGTCACACTCTTTTGGAAATTCATAAAATATTATATTAATAGGGTAATTCATTTTATCAGAACAGAAATGCAAAAGTATATATAGACAGTTATTTGGTGACTTATTAGATAACCCTTTTAAAAAGTTAGTTTATTGAATATGATGTAGCAAACAACGACATGTACTGATTATTATAATATTGGTATTTTATATTTTCACAAAAAAGAAACATTAAGATTACATAAGTAATATGCAGTAAATAACTATTATAATAACATTAAGAGCGTTGGAAAAACAATATTATAATATAATGATTGAGAGTGTAATATTAAAAACTGCGCACACATAATAATATAATAATAAAGAATTTACAGTATTTCATTTATTGGCCACTAGCCTAGGTGCCAAAACTTTATACCCTTAATAAACGGATTATGCAACTACATTATATATAAATAAAAAAAAAAAATTATACAAGTTTAAATCATAATAATAATAATTAAATATTATTAATTGGTGCTGGTCGTTGAAAATTATGATTAATATAAATTAATAAAGGAATTTCATATAAAAATCATAAAATTATAGTACACTGAAATATAATGTCAGTAGATCTCCAACCATAATTTTATATATATATATATATATATAAAAAAAAAAGTTTAACACATAAATTTACTATTTACAGTTATTTAATTGTAAATAAAATACAAACAAAGGCGGATGTTTAATCATCAACATTTTGGGTCCGTTTTACGTTCTTACATAGATGAAGCAGTCACAATTTCTTTTTTTATAATAGGATATCAAAGTTACCAATAAATTATAGTTACTGTAAATTTGGTTTCTTAGCAATTAATTACACATGAAATGTGTTTTAAAAAAAAAAAACTACAATTTGTTTTACAATATTTCAACTTGAACAGTAAAAAATAAATATAATTTGACACCAAGCATCAACACACTAGTATTGTCAGTTTTCACTGAATATAGGTTAAATAATTAATTATTGTTGTAATAAATTATAATTTATAATATAATATTATTATTATTATTATTATTATATGAAAGGACGAGATTAATATATTTTCGTAAACTTTGTGTATAAAATCAACAAGATTATTTTCTATTATAATATATTAATTCACCTATTAAATAATTCTCAAATTATAATTTACACACGTATAAATATATAACTTATAATAATATGTCAATAGAATAAGATTAAGATGAACTTATGGGGTTTTCATTATTGTTAATAAATCTAATTTTGTCTTTTTTTTTTTTTTTTTTTTAATAATATTTAACAAATAACAAAATATTTACTTTGAACTATCTTATAAGGCATACATAATTTATATAATTATTTATTTAATACTATCATACCATGTTTAGTATTTACAAATTAATATTTTGGTTAAAAAAAAGAATGTATATATATATATACTTTTAATATATGAATTCTCAATATTTCTGTCAGGCTCATCTATGTGTGTCCTTTTGATTTTAATAAATCGCATTGACTATTAGCCGTATCCTTTTATACTGAGATTCATACATAATAATTTTCAAAGGAAGATAAAAGAATTCATTACATAAAAGAATATATTAATAGTTGTTATGGGTAGATAATTTGATTATATCAAACTGATGCTTCTGTATGAACAAAGTTAATGTGCTACTTAAAAAAGCAAAATGATTGCATTTGAAATGTTATCAAATTTCAATCTCTTTAATGAATAACACAAACCAACAAACTACATTACTATCCACTAGAAAAAAAGAATAATTGATTATCAAATATAAAGAAAAAATTAAGTTACATAGTGTTATGCACACACCATATAAATATATATATTTGTGTGTGTCTGTTAGAGAATGTTTGTGTGTATTTAACAGTAATTTTAACCACAAGCTTATAATAATTTAAAAAATAATAATAATAAAGCTGTAATATAATTTATGAATTAAAACGTACAACATAGTATGTTTGTGTACAAACAATTGTGAAACAATTAAATGAAATCTAATTATCATTGGATAAAATGCTTGTATTGTATGAGGAAAAATAATTATATTTAAAAACTTAACCTTATTGGCAGGGCCTATGTATGTATTTTTATATTATATTATATATATATATATATATATATATATATATAATAAAAACAACTGGATGGGAAACTTATGACTGACCATTTAACGTATTTTAGGGTAATCCACACACAAGATGTTTGTTGAGAACAATTGACTAGTTAAAATAATAAAACACGAAGCTTTGGGCAAAGACCAACAGCAACACGGTAACAGATGTGGTAACTATACCAGCATTCACATCTACATCATTTTCATCAACCAAAACTTTATCAATCACATGTATTAAACCATTTGTACAACGGATGTCCGCACGATGAACACGAATCCATTCGTTTCGCCATTCAATCAAAAAACCTAAAATAAAACAATTAAAAATAATTATTGAAATTAAATTTCATTAAAATACCAAATAAAACCACACCACCTACAAATTAACTAGGAAAACTAGAATACCAGGATGCATCTAACAATTTATAGATTTAAATATTTAGTCATCAAGGCCACAAGTGATAAAAGAAGTGTACTAAAAAGAAGTAGAATAGCACACTCAAAACAAGTTTCTATTGGGAAAAAAAAGAAACCTTTTAACCGCAAACGGAATTAGTTTAGACACTAAGAGAGCTTTTATTAAAAAATTGATGTGTAATACAGATAAGAAATGTCAACATTTCTTAAGACCAAGAAAACCTAAAATGAAGTCTATTGAATATGGTGTTGAAATTGAAAAGAAAAGAACCCTGAGATTGCATGAACAGAAAGCATAAGGGATGAGATTTCTTTCAAAAATAAATTTGCTATAGTCAGTATAGAATATGAATATTTAATAACAAATAACATTTGGAAAATTACAATAATTAAAAAGAAAATTAATGGAAAGATAGGAAGAAGACTTAGGACAAACCATTATTCATGAAGAAAGTGATGGAAGACACTGAAAAAACATTACAGAGTCTATAAGAACTATAGGCAATAGGGATAAATTAATTTTTTAGAATTAAAAAACAAATTATAAATATTTAAAAACAAAACTCATTAAAGCAAACATAAATACCTTCAACAGGATCATCTCTGATTTTAATATACATCGAAGCATCACGCACAGTAGGTATTTTCACAGATAAATTATAATTGTTTTTAGCTTCATTTTTGAAATCTTCCATTGTGTATGCTTTCTCTGCAATGATTAAATGACGCTCCAAAACTTGACGAGCCTACATAAGTAAAATATTATATAAATAAATAAATAAAATAAAAATCTGATATCACAATGTTTAAAATATTTATTTAATTAATTGAATAAACAATGCAGATAATAAAAAAATACCTCTAGAAATTGAAAGAACTGTTTAATTATACTTACAGCTGCATACTCGGGTTCAAACAATTTCTTGTATACTAATGGATTATCATTTAACAGCCTCTTCCACGCAGTATCTCTGGGCACAAAATAAGTGAACCTCTTTTGCACATCGCTCAGTTGTTCGTTGAGTCCAGATACCTGTCCGAGATAGTTGGTCTCGCTGCAAATTAATAGTGAATTATTACTAGTGTTTAAAATATTAAACTGTACTACCTACCTTAATCATAAAATATTATTATAATATATATTTTAAAATCACTCAATAATATTAATAAAGTTTTTATTAAAAATAAACAGGTAGACATTATATAGACTCATTTAAGCAAAGCACATGATCAAGTTAACCACATATTCTTATGCGAAAACTTCAATCTATAGGTTTACATGACAATATACTAAATTGGTTCAAATCCTACTGAAGCGACAGATGAACTTATGTAGAGATCAATAATATGCTCTCTAAACCCATTCATGCAAGATCAGGATGCCTTCAAGGTGGACTTTATCAGCATATTTATTTTCCCTTTACATAAATTACTTTAAACCATTGAATTTTAACATAGAATTAAACGCTGATATTATGAAATTATAATGTATGTAAACAATCTTGATGATAGCTGTTCTTCAGCACAACATTAATATGTTTACCAATTGGTGTAAAATGAATGATATGGGAGTGAAACTAGCAAAAAGCAAAAAAATTGCATTAAAAAAAAAATACAGTATGTCCATTTTAACCAGATGTGTACTGCGTTCTATTTTTTTTACCGGGAAATTTTTAAGTAAGGCACACTTATAATAAACATAAATCATAAATATGCAAATGCCAGTCTATCCAGCTTATTTACCTACCTACCTAAAAAATCATAAAGTTACAATAGGTTGTTTAAGGAAATTGGAAAATGTGTATGAATCAAGGGGGCCTACATGAGAAAGGTCCACCGGGAAATTCCTGGGAAAATCTAATCAGTATGTGTTTGATTTTAACTATAATGTTAATAACACAAGTATCATAGACACAGATTTAATAAAAGACATTTGAGTCATCTTAGATACTTATAAAATTATATTTAAAAAAAATACATATGTCATATTATAAATAAAGCAAAGTAAATGTTTGGTTTTGTAAAAATACATACTAATGACTACAACTATACATCAGTCAAAATATTATACACCTCATTAATGTGTTATCATTTAGAATACCCCAGTATTATATGGAACCCTGTGTTCTATGTAGACATTCAAATGATGAAAAAGTACAAGACCATTTTTGTAAATTCATGATTTATAAACAAATTGATACAAACCGCAACCATCAGAATATTGCTGTATCTTCTTTAAAAACCAAAAAAACCATTAGCAATCTTATTTTCTTTTACAAAGTTTTAAATAACTTGAGAAACGTCCCTAACATTATTAAGAAGTTTAAGATTTGTGTGCCTGTTAGACCTACAAGACATCAACAGCTTATACATGCAAATCTTTTAAAATCTAAAAGAATACAAGAATCCATCGTAAATCAAATCTCTACAAAAATAAAGAAATTACCTACCTATAGAAATCAATGGCTTTCATTTTTCTTTGAATCATTTAAAATGTAAAATTCAAAAATATTTCTATAATTATGCATACCCTTAACCAAACCCAAAATTTCATATTTATTTTCATTTTTTATATTTCAAACTATTATTATAAATATAAATATTGTTTACATAAGATTTAATCATTTATTTGATTACAATGTCAGAAGGGGGGGGGGGGGGGAGCTTGTTTAGCAAGCAAAACAATAATCATCAAATTCTCAGTAATCAAAATATTTTAGACTGCTGCAAGGCTAAATAATATTAACCACCTCACTTCCCCTCACCAAAAAAAAAAAAAAAAAAAAAAACTACAAAAATACAAAAATACAAAATTGTAACTCATAATAACACATATTATTGAATAAAATATAATATGTCTAACAAGACAATTATTCTATTAAAGGTAGTTCAATACTTACTTGAGTGAAGGGTCAGTTGCCAGTTTTCGGTCGATAGTAGATGAAGGTATACCCAATATATGGTCAATAATGTGTATAATTCCATTTGTAGCAGCCAAGTTAGCCATAACTACAGTAGCATTTACTCCACCACCCTCCAGAGTCAAAGTGCGGTTATTACCACTGGTAATCACATTGAAGAACAGATCCTTCCGAGGTACTTCAGTGGGAACCTGAAAGCGCTGAGTCATGCACATAGGAGGGAGAACCAAACAAAACAAAAATTAAAATCAAGCACAACCATGCCATAATAATAATAAAATAAATAAAACTTAATACTGATAAGTATAAAATATATAAATTAAAGTGAAAATTGAATAAATAATTAATAATATTCCAATCTAAATAAAATATTAATGCAACTACAATAATAGTTTGTTCACAAACTGTAAACATAGGAATCAGTGTTGGGTGTAATCAATTAATTAACGTAATCAATGACGATTAATTTATTAAATTACATTACTTATTAATCATTTTATCATTTTTCAAAGTAATCAATAATCATGATTACATATTTGTAATCGTTAATCATTATCGCACAACTACATGCATATAGTACTGTATTAACTGCCACTGACACTATAAGGCAATAATCATATGTTTAGTGTTTACACTTGATGACAAATTTTTGATGAATATTTGGTGCCCCATAAATTTATGGAGCCTTAGGATAGTTTTCCTTTCCTCCCCTTCTCTTAGCACGGCCTTGTATACAGGATGTAACAGGACTATTTGACATTTTTATATTGTAGTTATATGTACAAATGTAAAATAATACAGTTACACCCAATATATAAACATATAAATAACTGTAGTAAGTAAAAAGTATATAGATGAATAAGTATGACTGTATAATGGAATAAAATGTCTATAGGTATTACAGTGAAATGTCCTCTAACAGATGTCACTATAATTTTTTAAAATTATTATCTGAAAAATAATGTTAATTTCAAAATATAGTTGTTATTCATTAAAAATTAATCATAATTATAAATTGAAGTATTTTTTAACAGTTACTAATACTATGATTACATGATTACATTAATCATTTAATCTATTTTTTTTATTGACATTATTTCTTATATTAATTTATATTATGATTAACAACTATAAATTTTAATCGTAATCTTTAATCATTAATCAGATTGCAATTTGCCTAATATTGATAGAAATATGTAGCCTATTTATTTAAATTTGCCCACATTAAATTAGTAATTAGTAATTAGTAATTTGAAGGGGACTAATTTATCTGTTTACACGTTTTGAATGGGCTTAGACTCCTTCAAGCACCATAATTTCTGCCAATGTATTTATTTAAATCTACTTGAGAATTGGAATAAGTGTATACACCAGGGGTAGGCAATAGGCGGACTGCTAACATTGTTTTACTTTAATGCTGATTTTTTTGTTTTCATTATTTGTCTCTGTGTAAACCCAGAATATCCAAGCATCCGAATGTATTCTATATTTATGGTGTATTTGGTACATATGTATATTATTGTAAAATTGCATGTATATTTTATTCTATAAAATAATTAAACAATATTTTATAATAGTTGTTTTAATACAAAAATAAGTAAATTTATGTTTTTTCTGGAGGTATTAAATAAGACGGAACACCACTAATTACCAACCTTCATTGTACGCAATCAGTTAAGTTAATATACAAAATACATTTTTAAATGAAGTTAGATTATGTGAATAGTAAAATATTATTAGTAATTTAATTTCAGTAAATTTGATGTCATTTTTTCATTTCAGGATAAAAAAAATAATTCATATATAACATAATAATAATATCGAAGACAAAATCTGCTACTAGTATTTTATATTTATTAACTAGTAAAAAATTAATATTCTATTCAAAATGAAAATTACATTTTAAGACATTTAATTTGAAGTTTATTTAATCAATTCAGAGTCTTACACAACATTGTTTAGTTGATTTTACCCTATTACTGTACATTGCACATGAGTTGAACATTAATTATTTAAAAAGTACCTATATAAAATATGTATGTTTTTAATGAAATAGATAGGGTTGAATGAAACAATCAAATACTTTTTAATAAAATGTAAACTACCTACGTAAAGTGGATTTAAACCAAATGGAAAAACTTTGACTAGATGGATGTTTTGTGCTTAGTTTTTAAGTTAGAAACTTTTTGGTGTTTATTTGTTAGATTTTTAAATTATGAAAAAAAAAAAAATGTGTAATTTTGAAATCAGCACATAATTATTAAGTCCATAATATTGGTATGTCCCTAGGTTTCTCGAAATATTAACATGAAAAAAAAAACAAAAATGAACATCAATATTAATGGTTAGATAGCTAATAAATTAAGAGATGTTACGAACCCTAAATTTTAGAATTGAACTGAGCCTACACATTTTTCTTCGAATCCAAACCGAACCGAACTTTTAAAATATTTTATCAAACACGGACTCGAACATTAAAAAAAGTAAAAAGGTTAGGTTAGGTCAAAAATCTAGGTTCTCAAACTGCTCGGCTCCGTGTTTTACAATTATAGACCCACTAAAGTGGAAATATAGAATTTGTCTTTATCGTACACTCTTCTGTCCCACTACAGAACATCCTATTGGTGACGACGCAAAATTTGCAACAAATGATTTTTAAACCGAACTATTAGGTATTTGGTTCGGTTCGATTATTTGCAATTTTCATTTTGAAAATCAAACAGTTCATCACATTTCTACTAAAAATATTATGTTAGATTAAAGTAAGTAACTACTTCTTTGAAATTTAGTGTTTTGATTTTTGATATTGTTCATGGATCATAATTGTGTATGAGTAGTTGGAAAGGAGGATATATAGGTGTAACTAAGTTTACATACAATAATTATAAACCATTGCAAGAATAGTAATATTAGTAATATTAGTCAAGTTTTTTTTTTTTTTTTTTTACTGATGTATTGACAATAAGTTGTTAGTTTTATAAATTTATCTTTTTTAAAATTATCTACATTCTAGACAGTTTTTCTAATTAAGTATTATTGGGCAAGTATTTTAGCATCTTTTAAGATAGGATATAAACAATTTGGAGCCTTTTTACTAATTTAAAACATACCACATAAATAAAAATATATAATAAATAGGCGAGTAATAGCTAAACATGTAATGTAGATAATATACCTTATCAACAGATTCACTATCAATGTCGTTAATGGTCAGACGTTTGTTGACAATGTGTAAGTATAGTAACGACTTGATGTATGTGTGATTGCCCAGATACGACTGAATACTAGGATCCTCAAATGCTGCATTGGAAGGTGCGAAAAGTGTAAAGTTTTCCTTAGTTTTGAGCTGATCCATGAAATTACTGTCAGAATCCTTGATTGCCTCGTAGAATTTGTGTAATTGACTAGTTTCATCTTTCTACATCCAAAAACATATTAGTGAATAAAAAATATAAATATATTTTTGCAAATTTCATCAAGATAATTAATACAGGTTCATTGGTTTTCTTATACTATATTATATACGGAGTGATCAATCTATCACAAGACACTTATTATCTCAGATAATAATCAGAATAAATATCTAGTTAATGGATTGACGGAATACGAAAATTTATTTTAACTAATACTTTGTCCATGTATAGAATTTTTAATATAAGTTACCATTTGAAAAAGGGGTAATGGTTTTACCACCAAAAATAACATAAAAGTAAAATTGTAGAGCTGCTTGTTTTTTAAATTGTCTATAAAATAAATTTAAAAAAAAAGTTAATACTTATTATTTATCTATAGAGGTTCACATTTTTATCACATACATCAAGAGGGCAGTAAATGGAAAACATTTGGAATATTTTGAACAAATAGGAAGACAAATATTCAATTTTATTTCTTTACAATTTTGTAATTGAGAAAACTATGTAATTAAACAATTTTATTTTTTCAATTCGCTCCTTCAAGGTACAAAAGCATTAAAGTATTTCACGTAAAAATATTAAAAGTTTATTTACTTATTTAATTATATCTACTAAATACTTCTATTTTTTTGATAAATTGTGTCTAAAATCTTACCTCGTGTAACTGGGTTATTTATGTTCAAATGTGTCAAATATGATACACAATGACAATTTAAATTGATATGCAATTTATTTTAAATAATCAATAACTAACCTCAATAAATTGTTTCACATTATTCTCCACAATCATTAATGGTTTATTTATCAAATGGACCACACCATTTTTAACAGGTATGTTGGCTTTAAGGATTTTTGCTACAACAGCGCCGGTATTATGGACACCATCGCGGACAATGGTATCACTGCTTACAAAATCTGAGTTAAACAATTTTTATATTATAAAAGTTGTAAAGAAACTAGTACACAACATTGTAATGTAGGAAATATATATTATTTTATATAAAATAAAAATAAATCTATTAAAGTTAATGCATAATATATTATCTTACAAGAGATGTTTTCGTTTTTATCCTTTGCATCTGATGCTATAGATGCAAAAACTCTAAGCATGTCTGTGAACGCTAAAGTTTTGAATTGTGTATGCTCATCAGTTGGTCCCATAAACAATACATTATCAGGGATAACATGTGCGTCGACCACTTTCTCATCGATTTTATCAAATCTTATTTTAGTATTCTAAAGAAAAACATAAATTTGTTACAAGAAATCTCTTGTAAACAAGAGATTATTATTTGTTATAAACATAAAAAATAATAATTGTAATATTAAATTATTTTATGATACTTCAATGTTGACCTAATTAAAATATTAGTATATTTAGTACTAAATATAAATTATTTCAAGTATAATTTAATATGCAAGTTGGGTATAAAAATCACGATATATAGATAATAAAGAGAAAAATATTACTTTTGACTTTTTACACCCCTACATCTCCCCAAACGAAGCCAGGGGGTGACATTTTGTACATGTACGATTAAGTATTCAAAATATCCTTTTTGATAATTTCAATTTTCAACCTCCACCTCACCTAATTTTAAGCTCAAATTTTATATTTTCACAGGAAATACTGAGTCTTAAATATTAAATATCCTTACATATCCACGAAGCAAATAATTGTATTAAAATGTATGTATATATTATATACATAAATAGAATTGTTATCAAGGATCAAATATTGTAACAAAAATTCAGCTAGGGAAAATTTAACTCGACCATAGTGCAAAGCTCTACTGTTTAAGTTTTTTTTTTTCCTATTGTAACATTTTTAACCAGAATTATCCAATACATTTCTGAGTTACAATAATTAAATAAATAATTTAATGAGTTTAAATATTGCAATAACACATTCAAGTACCTATAACATGAATATATTTATGGACCCAGTTTTTATAATTCACTGAAAAGGGAGGGGGGGAGTCTTAAGACAAAAACAAATTTTGTTTTGGATCTTTAAAATTTAAGTTTCTCCTGAATCCCATTTCATATTTGGAGATTGTACAACCTCATAGGTTAGTTTTATATTAATATGAATAATTATATATTTGTTTTAGTCTTTATTAGCTCAAATACACAGATACATAAATAGAAAATTATTATTTTTAAGATTGAAAATATGATTTCACTATGTAGATAATATACTGAAACAATTTTAATTAGGTAGGTATCTAGATTTAGGAAAATTGTGTTTTTGGGAAATCATAAACTAATGTTAGGCATTTTGACATAGATACATAATGTCGTAGACTAATGTGAATAGCATTACTAATATACATAATACTATACATGATACTACATAATCTATACTCCGGCCGTTGAGAGAACGCTACTCCTTCGCGCATCTATATGAAGAAGCTCCGCGGTTTTGTGCCCAAATTTCTCCCACTTAACTATCTACTTGCTGTAGGAATACACGAGAACGGATGAGTTTTGGTCACCGCTAAGTAGTGTTCTTTCGCTGGCCGGACTATACCTATTCAATATTATTTTTATTGGTAAAAAATAATAATGTAGAGGCATTTCCCTTAATAACACAAAGTATTAGGATATTAGGATTATACACGTCATGCAAGTAGGTACTTATTTGTAAATTCTAGAATAAATAATACTATAATATTATAACAAAAATAACTTATTATTATTATTATTTTTTTTTTTACTATACTTACTTCAGAATCAATATCATCCACTGGAATGAAAAACGTGTGTCCGCCTTGATTTGAAAACACACTCTTTTTATTTGTACTTAGTACTCGTTGAAAAAAAGAACTTGAACAAAATACAAATTCATTATTAATATAATATATAAATTATTAAGTTAAAAATTATTATAAATCTTTACATATATATTACGGTGTTGGTACTTCAACTGGTAAAAGTTTAATCAAACCGTGAATGATTTGTATAGTTATAACAAACTAGACATTTAGTAAATTTAGAGTAAACAAATAGTGTTTGTTTAAGTCCGAAATTTTATATTTTTGTTCCTACACATCATATATTTAATATTTGTATAATATACGAAAAACAACGAGATCTTTTCGTTTTTTTTAGTTGGTGATTAGTCACCAAGAAAGTTGATTTTTGATTTTCTAAGTAGTTTTTTTAATAATTGAGCAAAACCGGGAAAATGTAGGAAAACCGGAAAATGTACGTACAGTTATCAAAGAAACTTCGCTCCAAACCGTTTTCCGTTAGTAAATGTTTATCATTGCGTACGAATATAAATTAAATTTCCTTCTATATCCTACCTTTCCAACTTTTCATCTACGAAAATGGCCTTCTATCGTGCAAGGTATTTGTGTTTACTATTTTGTACACGCATTTTATATTATTTTTATAAGTATACAGTAGGGCTCCATTAGTAAGCCATTGTAGTGGGTGAGAAATGGAGAAAATGAAGTATATTACATTATGGTAATTATTAGTTTATATTCTGAAAGCAACGATGAATTATTTAAATTACAAAACGATTCTGAACTACAAAAATAAAATTGAGAAACAAAATAAACATAATTTAAGAATTTAACTGATTTTATGGAATGGTTTAATCATTAGAAGAAGAAAAACCACCTACGTATATAACCCGTATATAAAATATGTAAAATAATGTGTAAGATATAATATATATAAATTATATTATAAAGATATTACAAAGTTCTAATGCCGTTCGGAGTTAATTATTACATCATAATTATTTACTACTGTTTCCCCGATAGTTAAACATAATAATATTTAAATTAAGTACTCAATTATTATTATACTGATATAGTGAAATAACATATTAAGCGAGATGGAACGGAGATGATCCGTTTCCAACGGTAAACAGGATGCTCGAGTAGAAATGCGTGGTATGCCACTGACCGAGATGATGGTATACACGACGTAGACCCTTCAACTGGGTAATTAAACATATATACTGAACGATGGAAGTGGGTGTAAATGTAAAAGACGAAGAAAAAACGATTAAACGTAATTAACAAAACGGTACGATAAAGGAAATGAGTCGTATACGAGACAAAATGACAACGACGTCATTTTTTTTTTTTTTTTATTATTATTATTGTTATTTAAAATTCAATAGCGATTTACAGTACCTATAAAGTTAATAGATGCGTTATAAAATACTCCGATTGTATACGCGATGCTTTTAGATATTTTTTTCTATTGTGTGCGTGAATAAATATTCAACCAGAAATCTTACTCCTTAATTCAAGTGTAAAACCTTTTATGAAAGCAAATTTTAAACAGTTGGAGCATTCAGAAGGTAATATTTAGGTTTTTATTGCAGTTTTCTTTATAATTGGGAAAAACGGAATAGTTTACTGAAATAACGTTTTCATTATTTTCGATTTTGATTTTTCCGTTGCAATTCGGTTACAAATGTAGAAACCTGAAATATTCATAGAATGCTTATTGCTTATAATACTTATATTGGCCTTTTCTAGACGTAGTCAAATTTTTTAAACATTCTGCCGATATTTGAGCTATTTATAAAATATGCAATTTTCAAATTTTTTTTTTTCTTATTTTTTATATGGTTTTGGGCAGGTAAAAAGTTTTATTCGAACAGAAATGCTTCCAAATTTTAGATGAGGTTCATTATAAATTTTAATAACTAGTTTAAAAAAAAAAGTTTAACGTAATATACATAACGTAATTATTTACATACGAATTAAAAATTAAAATTTAAATGGAAATCGTAAAAATCACGTAATTTCGTACACTATTTTTGGATTTATGTGAGTTATTGATGTTTTGGCCAAATCAGAGAGTTCATTATAATTAGTATTATATTAAGTAATCTACATTTTTTTTCTGTGCAATTTTTCTTCAGAAACCAATATTAAAAACTAAATGTGTGTATGTATTAATTACACAAATACACAATTAAATAATAAAATTAGTTAAATTTTAACAAAACGTGGAAATATAAGCCCATTTTTTTATTATTCTATAACCTAACCAGATTTATTTTTTATTTTAGTTTAAGTAAACGAATTCAAAATATCGTCAGTTAAAAAACATTTTCAGATGATGACTTTCTTAATTCACGGAAAAATACCTAACATGGATGAGATTATGAGAATGTGTGTAAGAACATCAATACAAAGTCATATAATTATAATCCATTTTAAAGATTGATTTTATTATATAAGACGGTTTATTATTTGTTTAGTAGTAAATCTCCCCCGAAAAATATAAAATGAAAATTACAACTATAGGCGATATATTGTAATATAATTATATTGACATTTACCTGGTATGGAGATTATTTACTTCCAGTTTTTCAATATTCTCCATGAATTGCCATGCATCAGGGTACGAAGGAAAAGTTGAAGTAGGATCTTTCAAACGCAAAGGCTCTAAGACTTGGTCGATAACATGCAAAACCTATTTAAGCACCGATAAAGGACAACAATTATAATATATTGTAACAACAAATAATTTATTTTTATCTTAATTCTCACTTGAAGTTTTCCGTTCGGAAGGTTATGCCCGTAGTTGGACAAACCAATAATAACCTTGGCTTGGTTTACATATATGTCTTCTGGGCTCTTCTTTGTAATCCATATTGGAGGATTAGCATCCAGATCAGTCAATACAGAACTTCCCAATTCTTCCAATTTCACCGCTACGGTTGCTATATATGGTAATAATGTTTTTAATATTTATCATCTTAATTTTTAAAAAAAAATAAATAAAAACAAATATTTTTTTAATTAAAAATAATTAAAACATTTTAAAATAGGTTATAAAATATGTATTTTTAGATTGTGATCGGAGCGAGGAATTTATTGGTTTTACGCGATGATGTTTATTTTTATTTTTTTGTCTATTAACTTTTCAACCAAAAATGTTGCTCCAGTTTTCATGTGCAGCACTTTTTCTGAAAGGAAATTCGACTGGCGTGATACACTAGGATCATTTTTTGATTTTTCCAGGTGTTTTCATGATAAATGGGAACAAATATAGGAAAAACGGGAAAATTTAAAAATGTATTATTTTCAAATCGTAAATATTACGATCTTCCAAAACATGCGTAACCGAACTCCGCTCAGGATAGTTTTTCGATAGCAATAATTAATCGTTGCGTACAGATATGTATTAAATTTCCCCTTGGAATTAATACCTGGGACCAAAAAGTTGTATGTAATATGAATCTATAAAAACGATAATTTTAAGAAAACCTACGTATGTTTAATACCTATAATAGACATTACTTAAATCATGACCTAACCTAAGGTTTAAAAGCGTTTACTATATAAGGAATAGAAAGTAGATAAAAATTCAGAAATATAATTATAATAATATATGAATAAACAGTTTATTAAAATAATGAAAAATACGAACTGATGAAGAAACGAGAAGGGTAAAACAATCAAACATATTATATTTGTATAGATTATCTTATCTGATGCATCACCCCCATATTTACCCATGAATTACGAATACTTAAAATAATTAAACTAGAGCGTTAATGCGAACTTAATGCGTTAATAACGTCCTGAAAAATAACTACTTTGAAAAATGAAAATGAAATGTAAGTACGACTGATATTTTTATACCTTATTTGAAAATCAAAAGATAAATAATATACCAGATTATCTAGTATAAGAAGTATAAAAGAAGAGATTTTTTTTAAAAACAAATTTTAAACAAAGCGTGTTGTATAATAGTGTAAATGGTCTTTGTCAGAATATAATGTTGACAGTGAAGACAACAAAATACTGGGAGATTATATTGTACTCACTATACATCTTCAAATGTAATCGTCATTTCGTAATTAAGTAAATAACTTTGCAGTTTAAAACTTGGCACTGTTAAACAGTATACTTAATTAAAAATAAATGGCGTAGTCTATTTAGTATGGATTTTGTACGAATTAAATTGTATAAATTATGCATAATAAATCAAAATAAAAATACATTGAAAAACCGTTTTATATTAATATATTTTGAAATTTTTGTATCATAGTTTCTATATTTATAAAAATCCGAAGCCAGAGCCAAACATAAACGTTAAGTTAATGTTATTTATCGATATTCATTATAATATTACGTCCTCAAGACACCACGGTAAATTTACAAACATATTATTATACCATAGTCAATATGTATACAACTTAAGGATAACTAAACGAATAAACAAAAATTCATAATGCTGATTATTTACTATCAAAAACTCAATCGGACATAATAAGAAAAAAAGAGCTGATATTGGTGCGACCACTGTAATAGGTGGGTAGTTAGGAAAGTGGGACACATAAAGTTATTTAATTTATATCTGTAACCAACAATAAACTATTGCTAACGAAAAACAATTTAAAGCGAAGTTCAGTTATAAATATTTTGAAAGGTCGTAAGGTCGTAATATTTACGGTTTTCATCAAAATTTGATTTAAAAACTTATATACACACACATATATATAATCAAAAAAAATAATACTACATAAACTCAGTTTGTTTTTTACCACTAAGTACGAGTTATAATAACTTCCTGTCAAACTCTCAAGTATTTCTATTTTATCTAACAATTTTATTCACAGAGTACTTAATAAATAAAAATTACGTTAAAAATTCGCAAAGTTAAAATTTCTATAAATAGCTCAACAATTTTGAAAATTTAAATTTAAATTTAAAAATTTGACATACTTAGTAAGATGAGTGGGTCACTGTTGTAGGTGAGAAGTTGGAAGGGAAGAGGGAAATTTAAAGTATTTAAAATAATTTTAAAATAATTATTTTCAAAATTTTACTGCACTTTTTCGTTTTGACAACAATAGTTAAAAGTTTTCGTCGTGTAATAAAGAAAAATGTATAAAAAAAAAATAAGTATTTAATAATTATTCGATAAGCGGTTTTACGGTTAAGATATTAAACGAATCTCGTAGAAAAAAAAAAATATATATATATATATATACATAAATTCACAATCGAATCTATACTGATGACATGACATTTAGGGAAAAAAAAAAAACCTAAAAGTATCTCTGTGGTCACCGGCGCTGTGGCGATAATAATGTTTTTTAACAAGACCGGTTATAAGAAGATAGAAACCGTTTTTTATATACTTACCACAATTACGTTTCAATATACCTACCTACCTGCCTACCTACTGCAACGGTATAAACAAAATACATACTTCTACGTGGTTTTTTAACGGACAAACGCGTTTAAAACTACTGATCAATGTGATTTGAACATGTCCGGTACCTACCTACACTGCACACCGTCATATTGTTGTTATTGGGTCTAAAGACCGTGGACACTCCCGTGCGTACGTTAATGCACCGTAACTTCCATTTCCTCTTTAACATCTATTTCTATTACGCCAATCTACCCCCGGGAAAATCCAGTATCATTGCCCATAATTGATGTAGATATCTATACGAAAATAAAATGTACCCCCTATTAAAAATGTATACACGCACAATCTTATGTATTTGCAATATAATATTGTGTATTCTATGTATAGGTTCAATAAATATATTTGTCTCTACATTTTTTTGGAGCGAGTTTTATTATATAGATAAATATAAAGACGTAATATGATGAAACGGAACAAATTTAGCCGTGGCGTACGGTTTCGTTAGTTTAAATTTCTACGCATGCACGATGTTTTCTACTAGAATTATTATTCTAATAGAAAAACGACATGACACCTTTCCATTGCATTTTCAATCCGATAGGTGAGTAAGTAATTTGTTTTTTTGATTTTCTAGGTAGTTTTCAAAATAATTGGAGAAAAACGGGAAAATGTACGAAAATAATGCTTTATTATTATTTCGATTTTTTTTTCAATTTAGTTAAAAAATTCGTAGAGACTTGAAATTTTGATAGAAAACTTATATTTGATTTTTATATGCATGGTAAATTGACAAAACATTTGAGCCATTTTTGAGTTACTGTGTGAATACAATTGTTAGCCTGCCCCCAGTATTAGCTCTTTTATATTTTTGTTATTATGTAAAAGATATAGTTATTGTGCACTAGAAAAACGCTTAATAATATTTCTCAGTTATTCCCAATATTTGATAAATATCCAGTGATAAAAATGGGCCGGTAGAATTAAAAAAGAACAAGCGACTATAGCATTAAAAAAAGGCCATTCATTTTTTAATATAAATATCAAAATTGTGTACCTACCTGTAAATTTCAAATATATAATTTTTAAAAAAATGTTTAAGTTCTTTACTTCGATACAAATAATTTTAATGCCGGTATTATATGTATTAAACATTAGATTTCTTTAATATTTCAAAGAACAATACAAAGATTTAATTTCACTTACACATATTATGTAACAACCAATATAAACAGAGACTGTAATCTACTGTAATTTCGTTTGGGAGCGTTTATAGGATACGATAAGATAGATTTCATATATTTTTACACGTTCTGAACAGGAGTAGTAAATAGATTAAAAAAAAAATTTTAAAATTACTCACTCATATGATAGCACGGTAAAATTGCATCATCGTTTGGAAGTTTATTATACTTTTGAAACGCATCATTGTTGGGAGCAAAAACCGTAACACTTCTAATGTGTATCGTATTATTGGCTACTTCATTCCTTTCGATGATACTGTAAATCTGAAAAAATATATAAATTATAACTACAAAATAAAGCTAAAAATAATTATACAATAATGATATAAGTAATCGTAAAATTATGCTTCATTCTTTGCTTCGTACAAAGATATTACAATAAAACTCCAATGTGGTCTAATAATAATTATTACCGTGTATCAGCACAGAGCGCACCATCGTCGTATTTACTCGTTGTTATAATCAAAAACAATGAGACAATTTAAAAGATCTCTAATAAATGCAATATTTTTCTCACCAATTTTACCAATTTATAGTTTAGGAATTGAATATACCTATGAAGCCCATTTAGAGCTTTTCTATATAAAAAAAAAACTATTGATTATTATGATCTCATAATAAACAAAGTTAAAGGTTATGTACTAGTTAATGTATGTTGTACAGACAAGCGTTTTATTCAAATAAAACTTAAGGAAATAAACCATTTTTTTTTTTAATTTTCCGAAAGTTAGGTATTGAATTATTCGTATCTACAACAAATGGAATAGATAAAAATATGATTAACTAAACGTGTATAAATTAGTTATCTTTGGTACACGAAAAAAATCGTTTTATCACGCATGGTAATTTTATTTAAATAGTTATATTGAAAATGAATAAATCTATTTTTTAAACCAAATTATATATTTTTTCGTAATGAATTTCTATGCAAATCGGATTTGTTTTACTGTTTTTAAAAATGTGTAAAAACATAAAATACAGCCAAAGTAATAAAAACGAGGTAGCCTAACATTTTATTTAGATTTTTATGATGTTACAAATCGTCAAATTTAGTCTTATATTTTAACATAGGGCCACATTAAATTATTATTTACTTGTACATTCTTCATTAATAAACCGTATTAAAACAGTAATTCTACAATAAAAAATGATCTATAATATACTTAATTTAATATAATATCCATAATATTTTTACGATTAATAGAAATTGATTAATCAAATAGGTATTATAAATGGAATATAATATTATAATTTCTCAGGTAATTTAATTCAGCCAGTCTTATATAATAAACTAATATACTCGGCTAATAAACAATAATAATCTAAAACAAATAACCAGACATACTATAGATAATATATTCACAGTACAAGTGTGGTCTTATATACAGTAGATGGTAATTTATTAGTATATTATGTGCATACTAAAAAGGACGAATAAATCATTGCAATAAAAACACTATTCTGAGCAGTGAGCAAAGCTTTGTACACTTTCAGGGTTGCAATAACATCCATATAGAAGTCTTTTTTTCTCCCCGAGTAAACAACAGTTCAGAAATCAATATAAAAAAAAATCATTGAAAAAACTAAAAAGGTAAAAAATTTAAATTTAGAATTCCGACTTCGAGATGATGTTTGCAGGTCCTACTCGCCTTTAATATTCCGGATCTATGTCTAAAACCGAGGCGTACGGCGTTATTGATTATTATTATAAATGCAAGGAAAAAAATTACTAAGTAATAAGAATATCAAAATAATTAACTCTAAAACGTTCAAATATAAAGCCATTATTTTGTCGTACAACACATATTATTTCGAAAAGTAATGACGTTTTACAGTTACACGCCCCAAAAATAAGGATAACAATAAATAACGGTAATGTAACATTTTAAAGCTGCTTTAGAGTTTCTTAAATGGCCAAAACAAAAAAGAAAAAAAATGCTTTGAAAAAAGTTAATACTTTTCGAAATTAATAAGTGTTGTACGATAAAATAATTTTGTATGTTAAGTGAGATTAAAACACTTTGTAAGTATATGTACTAAGTACCTAAGTATGAAATAGTCAAACAGATAGTAGAGTAAAAAATGAGTTTTTCTTACGACTATACTCGGGAAGAATTTGATGCGACACCAAGATTATTAATTAAAAGAACAAGAGATAACTCGAAAATGATTAATGTTGGGATGTATTACAAAAAAAAAAAGTCCCGCAGTTCCGGGGCTTTTCCCGTAAATATATTATAATTATATACAATACACTCATTGTATTTGTTACGCAATAAGTCCTAGTTTAAGTACGTATATAATATTAGGTGATTAGGATTTTTTTTTTTGTATTTTATACGACGGCAAAACAATAGCTAATATGTGTACATTATACATACACATAACGACGAAAATCGTGAAGTTTATCAATCGACATTACAGCAAAATGTACACCAAAAATAATAAAAATATTATTATTTCTACGAGTTGTCTGATATAATTCAATGAACAAAAAGACAACGATAATAATATGATACCGGTAAATAGTTTTTAATCAAACGACAACAATAGCATAAACTGCGAAAAAAAATTATTTTTACAATAACACATAATATTAATTTATATTTATTTTTATCGTCCACAATAAAAATATAAAATAGTATTACATACATTCTTTACTTTTTTTATATATGCATAGTCTCTCCCCCCTTCTCCACTGGTCTCGTTTATTATCGAATTTTCGTATATAATTCGATACTTAAAAAACAAAAAAATAAATTAATATTCCCAAACGATAATATTAATAATGAATATTGAAGTTACGATTATAGATGCGAAAACGCCGCATTGATTATTCTTAGACACGCGAGGCAGTGCGTGCGTATACAATATTATAGTAAAAGAATAGGGTAGAAAAAATATGGATAATTAAACTGGTGCGCCATTAACTGGGATTACTTATTATTATACCTAAGTAATAAGTACTTATTATATAATTGAGCAAAACAATGAATAAAAAAAAAACAAAACAAGACTCCGGTCTATAGCAGCGGCCTTTGCAATAATCTACTAATAGCGTTGATAGTCAAATAATTTCTCGAGGCGGGATTAAAATGCTATCAATATTATACAACCCGCCGCCGCGATAAATCCAAAACGCCTAAACCATTTTTTGACAAAGATAATGCCTCGACATCACGTGCGTCGTCGATTTCTTTTCTTAGACAAGAGAAATTCAATGGCATGTCCTGGAATATTCAATGAGAGGGGATACAGTAAATAATTATTATCACGATTCATGAATACATTTTGGAATTTTTTTTTATACCTATAACCTGATACAATAAGAATTTAAAAATTTGATTCAAAAAGACCAATTTTTGTTTAATAAATCAAGCTTTTTTTTTCTTGGTAACTTGCAGGTTAAAGTACACAATTCCAAAATAAAATTACTAAATAAACACTCAGAGTTTTGTACTTCTAAGCCAATGGGAGATGGGATAAACCTCTAACCACGTTCCCTTAGCCACTAGGTGAAATTTTAGTTTTTCAAATTGTGTAGTATAGATGAATACCTAATCATACGTATTATATTATAGATAATATTTTATATAATTTGGTGATAAAATTAATTTTACATGATAAATTTTATAGCTTTGTTTTTTTCTCTTTTACGAACCCGTCTTTATATTATATGTTAGATTATGAACATAATATTATATTATCGTGTTGACTACACAAAATAATATGTTCACGATAAGATAACTGCAGTTACTTTTATGACACGTATGGTATAGTTGGGCACCTAATAAGGATCCAATATTTCGGCTCGATGACTATATAACTACATAGGTGTTTTTTTTAATCTTCATTCGACATTATTTTATTACGATAGAAGATAAAATCATCATTAATAAATTGATTTCTCTCCACCATTACATATACTTCCTTCCCCCTGCACATGTAAGCACGGTTCTTTTTCTTTATCACGAATCTATTAGTCACCTGAACAACACTAACGATTATTATTATTATTATTATTATAGGCCTACAATAGCGTTATATCCATGCCTCTCTCTCTCTCACTCATCCGGCTCACAGGATATAATAAATGGCGATCGTCTGGGAACCCCTTGTAGGGCAAATGGACGAACACTGCGCGCGTTTACGGAACGAAACCCTCTCGGCGTTAAATCGATATTACCGCCACCGCCGGTGCACAGAAAACTAAAAACTAATCTACATCACTTCCCGCTGGTGTTTAATTAGGTGTTATAAAGTTGAGGATATTGTATATAATATATATGTGGAAATCCGTTTTACTACCTATATAACATATGTTAGATATCAGTTTTCATCCGGGTAACTTCAGAAAAAAAAAGACTGATACGGCTGATACTGTGCTTTAGGAGAAAAGTATTAAGAGAGGATATAATTAGGAATAGATAATTTAAATTAAAATTGTACGCAACGATAAACCATTGCTGCAGAATACAATTTTGAGTAAAGTATAAGTATTTTTTTCCTAGGTATTTTTTTTGTTGCCAAGGTAACAGAAAAATAAACAAAAATTATAAAAGAAAAATTGCCAGTTTTCTCATTTAAGAAGAGAACTACATGGAAAATCACAAAATGGCCTATTCAATTTATCAATTAAATCAAACATATTACATGGAAGTTCCTATAAAGTGTTTGATTTGTGCAAGATTGCTGGTAGAAAAGTTGTTTGCAGACATGAAAAAACACATATCTACACATTATCATAATAAAACTACCTAAACCTAATATATTCCTCACTTCACTTAAAATCCAAGCCATAAATTACTTTCTAATTATCTTAGCTAATATTCTCGCGAAAGAATCAAACTCGTTATACTTCTGTTGTTTAAAAAAGTAAAAATCTAAAACAAAAAGACAACCCATGGGAGTTCCTACCTTTAATAATGTACTAGGTGTAGATACTTTTCTATTATATCGCACGTATGAATAATCATCGTTAAACGCATATTACTATGATACCGACTTAATAGAAAAGATTTTGCATAGATACAAAGATATTACTATATTATCGATAAATATAATTAAAAATACGAACAAATGCATATTTACTTATTGTCGCCAACAACTTTGTCGAAGGAATTATTGTGTTTAGATTTTGTTTACAAACAATAATCAGATAAATAAAAGAAATTGCATACCATTTAAGATAGGTAGGCACTGAGTTACTTTTTGTTTTAACACGTTTTGAATTTTTTGAATGGAGTATAGGTACGAACAAACAAAATATAAAAATAGGAAGAAAATACAATTGACAATGAACATCAATACAAAAAAAAGTAAATTTGAGCATTAATTCAAATTATTTACAATTTAGTAACTCATTCAATATACAATCTGTTGAAATTAATTTATACTATTTTTATATTGAGAAATTATGATTCATAATATATAGGTAAAATTTTCCAGGAAATTGATTTGAGGTAGGATACTCGTATATAATATAATACCTATAGCGGCCAAGAATTTTTTTTTTTATTTTATTCAAGGCGTGGTACTGTATACGTTTTGACTCGTCGAGGTCACATGAATTTGTTATAACAATTATTGTTAGGCGACTGTATTTTATTATAAATGGCATGGAATGTTGCTGTTATAAATTGAAAATTTGCCAGACAATATACGAAAAGAGTGCACACATTTATAAAATACGTAGACTCTATTCTATTGTATAGGTTAGGCATTAAATAATTATTCATTTCCAAAATAACTAATAAATGATACCGTTAAAATACATACATCTAAATTCACTTCTTTTCGTAGTATATTATATTAATGTTTGAGGTATAATCGAAAAAATATATATATATTTTTTTTTTTTATTATGCTCCTGCTTCTATTTCATTATTAAATACCGACAAAATAATTAACACGAGTTATGTTAACGAACACATGCAGCACCTAATTGATGTTTTTCTACATTCCAGAAAACCGACATTACCGATTCGAAGTCACCACATCACTCTCTACTATACTCGTATATATAAATATTAGATTTTGAGCGAAACTAGTAATGTATTGATTTTACAAAGATGTTTATTCTTATTTTCATTTTTTTTTATGCCATGTACAAAAATTATACAAGAAATCTTACTCCGATTTTCAAGTGTACCTTATTGATAGGAAATTTTTCTGGTAGTACTTTGTGTAGACCACTTCAAGGTCATTTTTTGATAATAATTAGGTAAAATCGGGAAAATTTAGTTAGGTTAGTTTTTGTTTTTTTTTTATAATTCAATTTAAAAATAAGTTCATAGAGACTTGAAATTTAGACAGACACCTCATATTTGCTTTTTTAGACGTGGTAAAATATTCAAAACATTTGAGCCATTTTTGAACTATTTATAGATATTTTAATTTTGCTAGTTTTTTATGTAATATTTATTCGGTAGGTATCTATACTCTGTGGATAAAATTCTAAAACCAAATGTAAATGCTTGAAAATTTAACAAGAGGTTCATTAGAAGTTGTACTTAGTGGTCAACAAGAAAAATGTTGAATTATATGTAATATTTATTTTTTTACGAGAATTTTAATATCAAATTTTGACGAAATTCGTAAATATTACGGCCTTTAAAACATGTATAACCGACTCCACTCAGAAACGTTTTTCGTCAGCAATGAATAATCGTTACATACAAAAATACATTAAATTCCCTTCTGTATCCTACCTTACCTTTTCACCTACAATAGTAGCCCATCCACCTTGCGAAGAATGTTCGTCTTTTTTAATATTGTCAATGAAATATCGGTGAACCATTAATTTTCACAATAACACTGGAAATTATGAGATGTTCCTTATTAATTCAACAGTACATGTGACGACGAGATTACGTGTAACTAATTTTAATAGAATACATAAGATAGAATACGAAAAACGAAAAAACTACGACTACTTAATCTAATCGATCGCGTTTTAATAATAAATAAATTAAATTTGCTTATACATTTGAAATTTACCGCAAAGAAAAATCAATATGACTTATGTACTGGACCCCCTATAGCCACGACTATATACTTAATAATTTAATATCTTTATAGTATGGTCACGTATACGATGAGTATTACAAAAGTTCAAAACTTGTATAGATTTTTATCATTAAACGATTAAGTTGAAAATCGTATATTATTATATCATATATATCCTGTTTTTGGAGTGCGGTCTTCCCACCGAGAAATCTATTATATACTCCCAAAATTTTGTACTTGAGGACATAAATAAATACTGCAATATCTGTAATTCTTTTTAAATAATATACATTCTGGATTACCGGTTGGGTTTTAGTTAACATACAGGGCTGCGAATTTAATGCATTTACACGTTTTTAATTTGTATTATTTTGCTAAATCATGTAAAGAAAATGGATTCGGTCAAAATTCGTTTTATGATATTTATAAATGAAATACGAATCTAGCTTTTAAATTATTGTTGTCAAGTTAGATATAATGTATCTAATGATATGTTATGAAATGGTTCTATGATTTATTTATGCATTTTTATTCATTACATACCCTTTCATTAAAAATCTCTGGATTAAGTGATATTTACGATATTCAATAAATGTGATGTTATGTTTTTACATATTTTAAGAATTTGAAGAGCATATTTTAGTACATATTTTGTCCGTTTTTAATAAACCATAAATATATTTTAATTTATCAGTGAATATTTCTACACAATAATATTATGTCGACGAGCGAACGACACGATAAAAAAATATTTAATACACAATATTACATTATATACTCAAATAAGACAGTCGTTGAATGACATAATTTTCATCATAATAACAATTGAACATAATATATTAATGTACTCAAGTATATAAGTAGTTCAGAAATACGGAGTTTCAGTAGTTTCACACGAATAAAATATATAATATAATATAATATCAGCTGTTGCATAATACAAAAAAAAAATAAAATAAAAACACGAGTTACGTTACACTGCAGAAAAACGCACTAACAATACAGTCATCGTTTTTATAACGTCTATATAATATTTTACGAGTATTTGAAGTCCACCAAGAAAAATATTCGATTTTCCTTTTGTACATAAATGCTTTAAATTATTACTCTTATTTCGTTGGCAGTGGCGAGCAACACTGCACAGCTATAGAAATATAATATTCGGCTCAAATTTACACATTGGTTTTTTTTTTTTCATTTTACTCCCCGATAACATTCTCCCCTATACGATACAGTATAATACGCGCGCACTTATTATTATTTATTATTATATTTTTTTTTCTTCTTTTTTTTTTACATAGTGAATGCAATACACTACTATAACTATATAATTCTAGATCGTTCGTATTATTGTCCCGTTGATAATTCCTGCGACTAACTGCACAGCCTGCTTATATATAGTTATCGTCGTTTACTATAGGCTCCGAAGGGTAATAAAAACCGACCCTCCCGGTTTTTATTTTTCTTTCTATTCCGACACATCCGCCGATCCCTATAAGTTTCCGGGTTTAACTCGTATATATGTATGCATCGATCGCGGGCCGGGAAACGTTTAGGGGGCTTCGGCACGACCTCAGTATATTTTTTATATACCTACTGCCTAGCTACTGATGTGCAGTTCCACATGTTGTTTGTGCGCACAACGCGTTCGGAATAATATTCTTTTTGTTGCGCATTATAATATCGTGTATAAGTACAAAAAGAAAAAAAAATTACGCCTAAATAACGGCTATATTTTTATCGAATTTTCCTAGAAAATAGTGAATTTTGCACTATATTGTGCTTGTTTTGTATATATATGTATACACGCGATGCTTAACAACAGTGTTCATTATCGGAAGCGAACGTAAAAGTGAATAATTTTTTTTTGAAATTTGAGCCTTCATAAATGGAATTAAATATAGCAATGCTGAACTCTGCAGTTCACGGGTGATTTTTTGTAATCGTAACAAACGCTCGCATGTAATATATAAAAAAATGTCCTCCTATTCTACTAGCCCACACACTACTCATGTCACGTTAAAAACTCGACAAAACGAGCACATCAAATTAAAAAATAAAATTTACGTCCTTTACATAACATAGTATTATTATGAGCTACATGCGAGTTTTATTATATTTCACAGCGTTATTGACCCCAGCGACTTTTAAGCGACTCTAAGCTGAGAACGGCAGCGGGCCCTTTATACACACCAAACAACACTCGAATCGAGAGCAATTTTTTTTTTACTACCTACTCATGTTATAATATTTTTGTCGACCACCATCATCAACAAAGATGACGTTTATTCTCTCTATAAAATCTATACATAAGTAATTCAATCGTCGATCACTTTTTTTTCCATTGTACTTGTATGTTTTAGTATAGGTAACAATAGAGTTATAACCGTTGGGCACGAATATGTATAGAACAACGATACGTGTTGTCGTCGTATATATATCGCAGGCAGCTAAGTATTTTATCGACGGTTTTTTTTAATAATAATACGACGTTGATTAACATTAGTATTATTTTGTGACAGAAAAACAAACCACACATATTGAAAAAAAAAAATACTTATATATTTTATAATAACGAATACTATATAAGGAAATGAGACTTAAAATGGCTGTCAATTAAAAACAGTAATATTTACAAATTTATTTGTTCAATACAAACGTAGGTATAATATTTTTCATTTATATAAACGTTTTTTTTTTACCACACTCAACGTGCGTGAAATGTCCTGAAATTAGCTATATTATTACGCACGCGAATATATTATTTCGACAGGGTACAGCCACACGATTGTTGCATACGGTCATTATTTTTCAATTTTTAATATACATATATATATATAGGGGTATAAATAACAATATTTTAACAAAAATACTAATAAGGATTGGTAAATGGTAAATGGTGACAAGTAAATGCTGCATTATTTAGCGATTTTATTACAATATTTGTTACGTCGCATTTATAAATCAAATTCTCAGAATCTAAAATTCATTATTGAAGACCTGCACATAACATTATATAAATACAAGTAGCATAAAATTCATCTCGAGTTCGTGACAAAAAAGATAATACAGTGTAGTGACATCGGTATAACATCTCGGCAACGCCCCTGAGGTATATTCAAGGGTGTTAACATTATATTATGTACATACATATACACGATAATATACTAAGCACGTACACAACTGTTTTATGAGATTTTTTTCTAGGGCAAACAATAAAAAACAGTTTCACAGAAAATCCACTTATATTAAAGTCCGTTATCCCTTAATAATACACACACGCTCGCACGCATACGCATATAAAATTCAGACCCACAAAATATATCACATTATTCTTAAGTTAAATAATATAATGAAAATAATTCTTTTATCGTGCAATAAGTATAAATTTATATTATTATACCAGCGTTCTTCTTTTGTAAAATTTTCCCCAAAAATGACTATTGCCGTTATACGTACAGTGGTACGTATGTAGGGTATCTTTATCCCTCTACTTTTATACATATCGATAGCGGCTCCCTCTAGTCCAAATGACCTCAAACTCGAGGATTTAGAGCTGTTTTGTAGTCGGATTTAAGTAATAAAAGACTGGTTGAATTTCACTATGAATTTAAACAAGTTTTGGCCAGTGGAGAGAGTATTTAGATTTTTAAACACTTACAGATTGAATGAAGCCAGGGGACGCAGTTTAGTACACTATGATATTAGTATCAAGGATGTAACATTTTTTAAAGACCAAATTACATCAATTTTTCATTGAAAATAGTATACTTATTGTAGTATATATATAATATAGTATAGTGCAGTTTAATATTATTATTTCGCAAAGAATATCTCTATCATAAAATATCATCGATGGGTAAAATTTTATTCAAATAATGACGAATACGCTTTGCTGATCACAAATATTTTTTTACACTTTGCGAGAAGATGTTAGAAAAACTAAAGGAATTTTTCCTGGATTCTCTGCAATTAGCAATAAATAATAAATTATAAAGTGTTTAAAACTTCACAATTATTATTTCTGGCTAGCCCGGCGACCGGTTTCGAAGGTGGATGAGGCGCAAGAATAAAAACATCAAAACAAAAACAACGACATGATACTATAACATAGATATACCTTAAAAAATTGCGCAGTGCATTTTATATTATTTCCCTTAGGTCGAGCGTGAGACTGAAATCTCATTATATTATAAAAATGTATATAAATTTACATAATATTTATTAATCGACGCAATAGTGACTGTATAGTGAATATTATAACTGCCGCTGTAGCCGTATACACAACAGGTATTATATTATTGTGCCTGGTGGGTCACGACTTTCGCGGTGAAAGTGATTAAATTGCCGGAGACTTGCAAATCGCGAGTATTTAGTTTGCTTTTGTTATTCGTTCCACCGAAAAAATAAAAGTTACGTTAAAACATCTAGTTTTAGAAACGTCGGTAAGTGGGTAGGTAACCTAACCTATAATATTATAAACTTGACCTTGTACCACAGTTATAATAACAACATATCGGGTTTTTGTTTCCCCTCCTAATAATACTGTATGAAGTATATCCGGCATCTGAACCGGTTGCAATACGTAGCAGTATTATATTCCAGAACCGGTAGGAAATGGCGCTAAATATATTACTTAGGTATACTACTAAGGCACACCTACAGAAATACCTACTTACCTATAATGTGCTCGTTTTGTTCGGAAATAGTTTTGAAAAATGACGTAAATGAATGGTAGCATACTGAAGAGGAGCGTTATGGGTTATACCCCCCCACCCCCATTAGTTTATAATTACAACATCTATGAGTATTTATTTTGTAATTTTTATTTTAAAATTATATACTCAGTTGTCACGAGAAAAAAATTTTGATTTATTGAAAAAATTGGCTTTTTTGGATCTGGCGTCTAAATTATAACTATTGGGTGAAATATAAGTGTACAACGAAGAGTTTATTCATGAGCCATGATTATTATTTATTATATCACCTCCCTGTTGTAAATTCTTGGGGACGCCACTGTCAATAAAACTTATACAGACATACTACACAATAATTATATTAGTTCAAGATTTTCAAAAGACAATTTGTATGTCATAATGTCATTTATTTTTGTAATGAAATAAATTAGTTTTTAGTTTGCCAATTTGTTGGATCGAGTTTTCGAAGGTCTATAATTATTAATATTTCCACGATAGAATTAACAATTATTAATGTTCAAGGTCATGTATGAGTATATTACTATTAAAATAACACGAGAAAACAAATTATAGCAGAAATATAACATACGCTAATGTCCAATATATAACTAGAATAAAATAAAATATACTTAGTCCATATATATATATATATATATATATTATTATTTATACAGACACTAGACAGTTTTCCAACTTCCAAATATATTAATTTTAAAATGTATATCTTAAAAAAGATAAATTTAACCCATTGACACCGAAAATGTACTATTATTAAGAGGATGCTATATGTACGTTACTTTTTGCCCCTATCTTTGTAACACACAGCATGGCAAATTTGCATTCAATATAGAACCAATTTTGGGTTGTTAGTTTTAATATTAAAACTAATTTACCTATTATCAAACAAAAGGTAAGAACAATATCTATGTTTATACATTAGTTTTTTCGTTATTTAAATTTTTAAACGAGATGTGATGAGTACACTATCAAAATTACTCGATTATAAATGTTAATATTGGGGAAAAAAAACTAATGTACAAAACACAAATAAGTCTTCTTGTCATTAAGTGAAATAATAAGTCAACAATTTAGATTTTGAATAGAGCAATTGGTTTTACAGTGATGTTTATTTTTTTTACTGAGGGCAACTTTTCTACCAGCAATTTCGCTCCGATTTACAACGATAAATAGCACTTGTCCTAAAAGAAAATCTAACTGTATCAGGCACTTAAGAAGGTAATTTTTTTTGATTTTCCAAAGTTTTCCCAATAAATGGAGAAAAAGGTTAGGAAAACCGGGAAAATAGGTATAATATAAAACAAATATTATTAAAGAAAATATATAATGCATATGTAATTATTTTATCATAATAAAACATAATATATATTGTTAACAAAGCAACAATATTAACCGAACTCCGCTCAGAATCGTTTTTTGTTAGCAATGGTTAATCGTTGTGTACAGATATAAATTAAATTTTCTATCTACCTTCCCAACTTCTTACGTACAACAGTAGCTCACCCACATACGTAGTATGTCAGTCTTTTTATTAAAACTATACAAAATTCAAATCACAAAATTGGTTTTGTTAAGTGCAACTATGCTATGCTGTGCGTTTAAGACAAGGAGAAACAAATGCATGTGTAGTGTCGTTTAAATACAAATAATTTTTAGATTTTTTAATTAAGTATACAACTGTATTTAGTGCCTAACTCCATTTAAAACGAGTCGTATCATATCGGTAACAAAAATATAAAACTCAAAATCGACATAACATTATCCGTGAATGGCTATAACTGCTCTAATTAGTGATAGGTGTTATATATTAATTACAATTGCTTGTTTCAATATTGGTAAAAATATAATAAATTTATTATACTATGGATCATTTTTAAATCCTAAATAGATATAACAGTAAAATACCTCATTATAATATTATTGTTTACACTCAATATAAATTCAATCTACTTACAACTCATTAAACTAATTTTTAATACGTTATAATAATAATAATAATGATATTCTTTGTGGCAGAAGATACATAGGTATTATTTATATACGTTCTACAAACAAAATAAAAAACTGCAAGAATAATAAATTAGATAACAAAAAAAAAAAATCCGAGCTATTTATTTAGCAGAAAGTGTTAGAATCAGTAATATGTGTTTAATTAATAAACGATTTTTATTATTATTATTTGTTACATAATTGTATTTGCGTAAATTAAAATATATCAGAATTATATTATACACTTAAACGTCCACGCGCACGTCTCCTATGACTGTTGCAATTATCAACAAGGGGAAATTTAAAAAAAAAAAAAAAAAAAGACGCCAACACCACATCCACGAATGTGACCCCTTTCCCTTTTGTAATATTAATATAGGATTTATTCGAACCAAGTTAGAAACTTATAGGGGAGAGTTATTACTATGACAACCAAATATAATAATAAAACTGGTGTATACATGGGATAAGAGTATTATTGCAATAATATACTAACATGGTAATGCTTTGCTATTGCTAGATAATAGTGTAAATAGTAATAATAATAATAATGATAATAATAATAATAATAATAATAATAATAATAATAGTTTTCTTGTCTGTGACAACCAAAATGTCATTCATGTCACCAAGGTAATCTATAAGTAAACAAAAATAAATAAATAAACAATTAAATATTCTTACTGAAAATACCTAATGATTGCAATTTTCGTAGAAATTTCTAATTTTTTTAAAAATTAAATACATCCAATGTAGTTATTTGCTGATAATGTTGTTTTTTGTAGGTGAAAGAAGTTTGAAAATCGGTCAAGCAGTTTTTGAGCTTAAAAATTACAAACATACAAATAAACTTTTCTTCTTTATAATATTAGTATAGATGAAAACATAAAAAAGATAGTATTTTTGATATGTTTGCACTGGTTTTAGGAGAGATGTTTGAAGGTAAGAAGACATATAGAATAATAGAATTTGTGTAAATATGTAACGATAAAACATTGATAATGAAAAACGATTCTAAGCAGAGGAATATTAGTCGTATTTTAGTCCTTGTTGCCAAGGTAACCCAGAAGTTAACAAAAATTATACAAAAAATTGACAGTATTTCCAAAGTATTGAAGAAACTTCAAGGAAAATCAAAAATTTAACTCTTTAATCATTACCTACTACAAAAAAAGTTCCTATACAACTTTTGATAAAAGCAAGATTCCTGGTAAACATGGTGTTTATTGACACAAAATAAAAACAAAATCATTGGAAAACCAATACATTTTTATCGTTAATTATAATATGAAAAAACCGTTTACTGACCTCAATAATTTGCGGAAATCATCGATCGAACATCACGATGTGACGGTAATTGCGCGGCTCTAAAGCGGTTTGAGATAAAATACCAATACAATGGCCATGATGGATGATTAATGAAATTCGCATCTATTCAGAAGATGAGTGACGTCAGCTAAATGTAAGATTTTTTTTGTAGGTGGTCAGTCTATTCATGTACAACAGCTGTTCTAACGATATTCGTATAGATACATCATTATGTTATTGTTATTTCTTATTGACAGAATAATTGTATTATTTAAACGTAGCACGCCATTCGAATTTGCAATTATTGGTATTAAAAATATGATTTAAAGAAATTTAAATGTAAGATTAGAAAGATATATTATCTACCTCCGTGAGATTTATTTAAAATTTGATTTTCTATCTAAACGATTTTCTATTTTAGATTATGAGATTTTGATGTACAGTGAGAAATGTATGACTTTAATTCATTAAAGTTTTACTACATAATTTATTTTCTGTTAATGAACAACTTTTGTCTGCCAGAAAAAAAACCAATCAAAAATTTCATAGGAACTTGATAATTTTGGATCTAGTTGATAACAACTGGGTAATACAAGGTCACCTTATCAACTATGCACTTACAACAATGGCCTACCATGAGCAGTACAATAACTTTGTATTTCTATTAACTTTGTAACTTGTATTTCCTTTTAAACAAAAAAATTAAAAACATATTAACTTTTTTATATTATTATATCAATAATAGTTAAAACGTATACATTTTCTTGTTTAAAATGAGAATCTTCAAAACTATGTATTAAATATAATATAATATGAAACTTGAGGTTTATAATACATATAAATTGATTAATGGTTAAATTAAATAAATTAAAATTATTGAATATATAAAAAATAATACACTTTTTTTTTAGTCTACATCAGAAAAAAAAAACCAAAATATTGCGTATGTTTTATACATCATCGCTACACTACTCGTACAGGATATAATTCATGAATAGAAAACTGTTGTAAGTGAAAAGTTAGGAAGATAAGATACATAAATAAACTTGATTTACCTATATCCATACGTACGTATGAAATATTAAATTATTTACTAAAAAAAAACGAGTTTTACCTAACCTAATCTAACCTTGAGCGAAGTTCATCTAATTATGTTTTGATAAATTTATAATCAATTGAAAATTAGATTAATTTGTATCTTCCTGCAAAACAAGTTTTATGGTCCCATACAGTTGATCATTTAAATTGAGCTAAAAAAATTATATCCAAATTAATCGTAAAATAGTTGATACGCAAACTGCTTTGATTTTTTCGATTTTTATCAAAATTTGAACTTCATAATTCGTTATTTAAAAAAAATTGTGCACGTGGATTTTCAATACTTTTATAGTTATAACACCTTATGATGAAACACAATATACTCGAAGTAAAATCAATACATTTCTCGTTACGCTCAGAATCTAAATGTATAAACCATAAAGACTAAAAGTAAAACAAACATGAAATGATTAGGATAAAATGATTAATGTATATTTATTTTTTTTAAATACGATTCATAAGAGAAGGGGTTGCCTCTGGGCTACTACATCACTAATCTACACGTTATAAAATGGCACAATTTTTAAATTCGAAGTTAAAACTTGTTTAACAACTTGGGTGCTGACTCATAAACCTAATTACATTATAAAAGTAAGGGAAATAGCTAAAATATCTACCTATATTTTATTTATCTGGTAGGTACACAACTAAAATTAATTCACATTTATATTATGGTACCTACCTATATTAAATATTATTTAGTTGGTATATATTTATTTTGTTCTAAAAATGTCACCGTTATATTAAAGTAGGGTAATAAAATAGGGGATTGTTTCTTGTAATTTTCTTTGCTTGCTAGTGGACCACAAAGGCGCCAGAGTAAAATGATACAGCTATAATAATGATAATATAATACGCTAAAGGCACTCTCGTGTTATAGTTTAATAGTAACATGGTTACCTAGACAACCGACCGAATAATAAAAATAATGGTTCGAATAGTAAGATTACATTTTATACGCACCCACCCACGTAGAATAATATTCGTATTATAGCGCCACACTGTATAGTAATGACTCGGCGGTCTTAATGGTGAAAAAGTTTCCCCTATCCAATACGTAATGTGTATACATATAATATATATATAGTTGTAAAGCCTCCGACATAAACAAAAAAAAAAAAAAACCATAACTCCGTTTTGTTTTAAATAAAATACACTTTTAACTATAACCCGAAGAAAAAAATATATATTATTAAAATTATTAAAAAGTATTATTACTTGACGAAAATGTGTTTTTGGTCTAGTAATGGGTACAACTAAATAGTTATTACTGAACAATTCGATAGTTGATCGCATTCGAACTATTCGGTAGATTGAAAAATATTCGAATATTTTTTATTCATTCACGCAGAAAAACAATTGATAGTTCATTTAAACTATTGAAAACAATTGGTAGTATAAATTATTCCCCATCATTAGTTTCTACAGATGTATATGTACACATAAAAGACACTTGTTTGATTTTTGTTCAAATTTAAATAAAAAGACTATATGCAATTTTGTACTAACAAACCTACTGTTAATTCCATAAAAATTAAAAATTAATATTACACCTATTTATGAAGTTTGACAAAAAATACCCGATTCGGTACTTACGAAAATTCGATATTTATTTATTTCTACGATGTTATATTATGTAAATTGATTTGACCTTACAAAAAATCTCGTAGAGATTTCTAATAACAAAAACGACCAACGTCATAATAATGCGTTAATAAGCGTTTAAATATTCATAATGAAACATCGAATTCGAATTCAGGCCTAATATTTTTTATATTCAAATCATTATAACAACGGTCAATTGATCTATATAAACGATTGGCAGTAGACAACGACTGTAAAAAATAAAAATTATTTTTTATTGTGATATACACGTGACCCATTATTTTGCAGGGATACAACCGCAAACATAATTATATAATAAAAAAAAACACTACAGTAATATAGTTTCGATAGTAATAAAAAAAACAAGTAGCTGTAAAAATGTAAAAAATTTTAAATCGATTTTAAATGTAATTTTCTTTACTACTTATACATTATACGTATAATATATTTATTTACATACGACCAACCTATTATTTTTATATAATATAATAGTACCTACCTCTTTCTACTCCTCGTGGTACAATAATTTCAATCATAAAATTTATCATTTATATTCGAATTATTTGAATTTTTCAGCGTCAATTCGAATTATTATAATTTTGTTTTTAAATCAATGGTCAATTATCAGTACAGAAAAATCGCACTGTTTAAAGGTCTTATAGAAGTATAGGTACTTCAATTCGAAAACATTAAACGTTTTTTTTTTCTTTTTCTCCGTTGACGCTTTCCCATCTATACCAGATCCGCTTTTCGGATTTTGGTTCTTCATGCTAGTCCATCTATCACTTACTATAGATCCATCTACTTTTTTTTTTTTTTTTTACGTCTTAATGCAAACAGTCCATCCACATTTTCTTCGATCTTCCGCGGCTCCGCTTACTCTTTAGTTACCATTTTTAAACTCGTTTGATTATATGTTATCCTCTCTAATGTATACGTGTCTAAACCATCTTAAACTATATTTCCCGTTATTTTCTCACTTATGTACATAACCTACAGGCTCCCTCTCATACATTCGTTCCTTATCCGATCCATCTTTATGATAACAGAAACCCATCGTAACATTTTCATACGGCTTACGTGAATAGCTTGCTTCACCCACTTGTTGGTTATCCAGCATTCTGTTTCATACAATATTATACAATAAAGTTGGTCTTATGACAGTTTTATAAATTATTAAACCTTCTTAATAGATATACTAAATTACCCGTTAGTTATAATTTTGAAAAGAACGAATCGAAAATCCGAAATTTTTATACGAAGAAATCGGAATCGGCAATAATGCTGCTACAGACATAGTGTAGCTATAATAATACTAATAAGGTACCTAAAAACAAAAATACTTTGAATCGTGAAGATTTTTTTTGTTTTGGTTGTTTTTTTTTTTTATTATTATTATTATTATTATTATTTAAGAGGCAAGAAATACACCTTGAAGTACGTCGAATGGAACGGTAGACAGGCAGGTAGACAGTGCAGGCTCGTTGAACTCATTTTTACCACGGTCTCGTACATTAAAATTCATTGTCATTGGCTTCTGTGCGATCATCCCGACAATTAAAAGATGATTTTCGACTCACAATAAATTAATCATCTGAATCGTTCGAATCACAGGTTCACAGTTACCTCCCCTCTACATACCCACCATATCCTTTTAATTACTCATCAAACATTTACACTCTGTTAGACCGTATCGCTGCGTGACGTTCCTCCCTTTATTTATATATAGATAAAATTACGTGATGTAAAAAATAAAACGTGATCGTTCACCTAATTACGATATCATATACCTACAGTCGATTTGTTACTGCTTAAATTATACTCTATAGTAGTTGTGAATAGTAGTGAACTTTAAACCTCGTGAGTAATACGCCAACGCAACGTGAGGCGATCGCAAAATCACAGTTCCCTTAGCTACGCAAATACGGTGAAATCATAATCAAACAGCTCCACGCCTCACGTCCTCTTTTAGGATTTGTTCACTCGATCCACCGACGCCATTAGCATTTTGTCATCCTTAGGCTTTTTACCGTTTCCTCCATGAACAGTCATGCTCTTTTTCTTCAAAAGAAACTGATATTTGATATTTATTTCATTTTAAATATCTACACAATTATACATTGTTCAATAATATTTTTCATCGTCATAATATTGTCTTCCGAATAATCACGACCCTTGATCTCATATTCTATCACTTTTATCCTCTTTATCATTCTATACTTCGTCTTTTCAGTATTTTTTGGGCTTACTTCTCTCCGGCTTCCATTTGATTGCTGTTCAAATATTGCTTTTTTCCATATTTCACATCATAACGTGTTTCAGCCACTCGATATTATTTTATTATTATTTTACAGGTTTTTATAATATTAAAATTGTGTATAGCTTGATTATAAAATCAAGCAAACTAATTAATTATCATAATAAAATAAAATCATTTTAATAATTTTATTTTATTTTATACTAACTCGATACATAATGAATGAATATAATTACAATTTATAATTTTAGTATAATTGAGATAATATTCCACTTCTTTTGAATATAATTAAATTGAAGAATATTTTACTAGGTTTTAGAGAAAAAATTATTATACGGAGTGTGTAAACCTAAGATACTTCCTTACCTACCATTATACTTTAATAAATCTACAAAACTGTATCGAATTATGAATCCATTATTATATTATAATACCATATGATCTTTATATTATATTATACATCGATAAGCCAAATAAATAAACATTTTAAGTACACGTATTATACTAGTAGACGCGTATATAAATAACCTTCATACAACATTATAATAACAATAGATATACCATCATCGTGTATTCAAATAATAATATTTCAAAAAGTGTAAATCTATAAGGTAAGTTAGTATACAATTAAAAGTGAAAAAAAAAATGTATTCTATATTCTCATATTATATTCCGAGTATAACAAGGATTTTACTCACTGTTGTATAAATATTATGTATACAAATCGTGTTATTATTAATATATATATTTTTTTTTTCACAGAGTATATTAGATTTTAAGCGAAGCAAGAAATGAATTGGTTTAACGCGATGAGGTTTTTGTTTTTTTTTTTTTGTGTGTACGTATGTGTGTCTGTTAATTACTCTACTACTAGAAATCTTGTTTCAATCACAAACTTTATAGGAAATTTCTTATAGTATTTTCGATCTTGTTGGTGCTTTGGAGGTCATTCACTTTTGATTGTCTTTGTAGTTATCTTAGGAAATTGGAAAAACTGTTAATGTTTTCCCTTAGCAACAAGGGTTAACCAGAAATACGATTAATAATACTCTGCTCAAAATCGTTTTTCGTTAACAATAGTATACAATTGCACACAGACATAAATTAAATTACTACTCCTGGAGAAATCAAAAATGACCTCCTTAAAGTATCTTCCCAGTCAGATTTTCTTTTAGAAAAAGTGCTATCATTGTAAATTGAAGTTGAAAAATTGGTCCACAGAAAAAAAAATAAACATCATAGTAAAATAAATACATTCCTCACTCCACTCAGAATCAAAAATTTTAAAGTCAATATTTTATTAAAAAATGAATGTTCAACGATAAAAAAATCACCCAGTATATTATGTCTTCTAACTCCTCTCATAAAACAGTGGCACATCCATCAGTATAGTAACAGCCTATTTATGTTGTATAAAAATACGCGGTCGTACATGAATTTAAATCGTATAACACGCGTTATTTATGAAAGTAGAGCCAATCAATAAAATAATGTGAAAAATAGGGTATGACTCATATAGTATAAGAACATATATATGCACATCACTTTTTATAAAAGGTCCAAAAGACACGGTTGGTCATAAAATAATTATTACATATTTTATAATAGATACATACTTGTACACACCGTGGGATCCCACCAACTCATATATTATAATCTTTTTGTTAGTTTGTTAATACCTATATAATATTATACATATATATATATAAAGGGGCCACAAAAAAAGGACCCGTATCCTTTGCACAGAAATGAATGTATATAATAAATCATTAAATTAAACGCTGTATTATTATTATTTTTTTTTTAGAATGATTGTATAGACGAATAGAATAATAGTACAAGATTCTTAATCCGGCCGTCTCTCTCAGACGAGCATAACGACTATATAAAATCGGGGGTGGGGGAAGGGACGTTTTTAACGTTCCGAAACAGGAACCGTAAAGAAAATATTGTCGTCAATTTAATTCAATCTAAACATTCTAAAAAAAAATTTAAACAATATTATTATATTCGAATATTATACGATGATACAAACACCGCATTATATTCCGGTAAACAACTATCAACACAACAAGGCAACAAAACTACAACTAGGTATAAGGATGGAGATTAATGTCGATTATTTTTTTTTATACGTACAGTTAATTTTGAAGACTGTGGCTCTATAGTATACTGCAGTAGATAGTTATAGTAACTAGACTGTATAAAAAAGATAATAAGTGAACTGTAGAATAAAAAAATATTTTCTCACCAAATACCGACAAACAAGTGAACTAGAATCAAAATTCACGTGTTCCAAAAAATATGGACATATATTAGCAACACTGTTTTATAGGATTATTGAACGCGAATCGTAATCTGGAATCAATTTGTTTCAAAACGTACTAAAACGGGTCTAAATTTAACCGGAAAATAGCGGTTTATGTCAAAACTAACAAGTTCCATTGAATATATTTAATATTAAAACTAATTCACATAGTTATTCATTTCGACTATTATCAAAACTCAGATGTTCAGTAATTTAATTGTTTGTACGCGTCCGTTGCCGCCGTTGTATGTTACCACCGTTACAACAATATAGAATCTGCAAAGAAGATAGTGCCACTGTTGTGTAGATAATTATTAAATTCGGTCTACATCAAGAACGATATAATAATAATAATAATACTTAATTATAATATCGAACCTATGTAAAATCGTTTAACCCTTTTATCTATACGTTTTATATATTTTGATATTTCGGCCGTCACGTCCGTGGCGACACTATAATAGTTATAATATAACCTATATTTTTTACTCTCTCTCCCTAAACTGTTAAAAACTATCACGTATGCCTTAATATACGTTTTTTTGAAAATTCAAAAAAATGAAGAAAAATTACACGGCGACTTAATAGGTAGGCACATATAAAAAGTAAATCCGCACAAAGAAAACGCGAAAAATACTCTGGTCTATAAAATATCCGAAAACACGACACAATAGTATACGCGATGTAACTACTCGTGCTCTCATATTATATTTTCCTTTGGTATCTATTGAAAAAATAAAACCAAAAAATAAAAATAAAGTAAATTGTTATGCACGTACCGATGAGGCGAGCGAGGAGAAGTACGCTTCTAAACCTAACCGCCATCGTAGGTACCTACTTATAAATGAAGAAGCGCAACAAAAAAAGACGATTCACGTTGTTGTTATCATATGATGTGTTTTTTTCTTTTTAAACGTAGATAGATACCTAGCCCACCTATACGGAATTACACTATAATACCGGTGTGTACTGCGTAACCGCCACCACCACGCGTTCAGTTCTGTTCCGCAAAAATATTCGTGGGAAACCGCGGACGATGGGTATCAATGACCGTGACACAGTGATTTCCGAAATATAATATAGATACCTCGGCTATATTAAAATAATGATAATATTTAAAAAGATTTTTTTTTTTTATTATTGTTTTAAGTCATTTATTATAATAATTTATCGTCGTAAAAGGAAAGTGTATTACGCATTTTCTTTAATATTGGCGTGAGAAATGCGATACATAATAATATATAGCAGTAGGACAGCAGTGCGATAATTTGGCCCCACTAAAAAAAAGTTTCTCTCGGAGACTATGGACAATTTTTAAAATGTATCGACGTTAATTTTCGTGATTATACGAGTATTAATAGTATTAGGTATCTGGTAGAAATTCAATAATATAATATTATTAATAATAATATTATCAATAATAATATTTGAATACATGTATAAATAATAATGAACAGTTAAAAATTATGCCAAAATGTACCGAAAAATTTTTAGACGCATAAAAAATCGACAGAATTAAGTAGTTTACAAAAAAAAAGCCCGACTGTCTAAAACTGTCTAAGACTATGGGTATGCTACTGTTTTAGGAGGGAAACTATATATAGTAATTAAATCTGTAAGTGACGAAAAACCATAGTAACGAAAAACGACTCTAAGCTGCGTGTTAATTAATCAAATTTATTCCCTTGTAGCCAGAAATTAACAAGAATTACCAATTTTTCCAATTTATTAAGTAAATTATAAAAAAAAATAAAAATGTTTAAAAATCCCTTCATAATGCACTGATGCTAACCGATTATGTCATAAATTCTACAATAAAGTTCACTTTAAAGTTTTTGATTAGAATATTTGTGGTAAAAAAGTTGTTTTCAAATACAACAAAACACATCATCATAATAAAACAACCAATACGTTCGTCGCTTCACTCAGTATCTAAAAAATGTATACACAGTGTGTATTCATTTGCTTATTTCAATACACACTGGATTATATAAACTATTAAAATTAATGTAAATATAAATATTTACAGTAGCGTTATAACAACACCTTTTGATTCCCAATATATTCACAAGTTAAACTTACTATGCCCATTAAACAAGAAAGTAAAGTATTATATAATTATAGGAATTTATAATTTAACTATACGCTATTGATTTATTTTATCATACGAACTTTTACAGAACTTTGGGAAACAATAATATAGTATGGATAAAGTTAATTATTTACAATGTCATTATATTGTGTACTAATTTAATTACCTATCGTTTATGACAAATAATAACAATTTAATCAAACTTAAATTCCAAAACTGTAATTTTATATACATCAGCCATATTAATATTAATTTAACATACGTTTATTAATTAAAATGCAATTTGTTTGCATACATAATTAAACCATAACAATCAAATTGACGTGCGAAAGAGTAATGTATTTATATTGCATATTAAGTAATATATAATAATGAAAGTATATAAATATGTAAAATTTCATATTATTTTTCAATGTAACGTTTCAGTTTTTTCTTTTTTTTATATACATATTTTTCGTATTACAAATATGTGTTTTATTCTCAAGCGGTTAATAATGTAAATAGCACGACGTTTCGTTTCGATTTAATATTCTTAACGTAATTTTTAAGTCACAAATAGAAACATTATATAAAGTTTCGAAATTGAGTTTTCCCCAAAATCATTTTTAGTATGATATAGGCAATGATTTACATTGCTTTATGGACTTTTTTTTTAATGTACCATACATACAATATACCTAACCTATCCCAGCTTCCTATGTACCTACTAAACCAATGTTTCTTTAATTTTATTAAAAGTTTGATTGTATTGTTTAGCAATTAAATAAAAAAATAAATAATTACAAATGCAAACAAAACAGTAATATAAAATTATAAAATGTTCTAATGATTTAGTTTTAATTGTTTTAAATATATAATATAACAACCAAGCGATGAAAAAAACTTTTAAACTTTTACAAACTGCGATGCTTTTTAATAACTGTTATATTTCATTAAAATAAAAATAATTTATATTTTGAAAGTTTTAAACAGTATATGTTTTTATTATAAAGTGTATGATAAATTATTAATAAATATTGTATATTATATTGCGACTAAATATCTTATTTTATATATCGATTACCTATGATTATTTTATTAATACGAATATACTACAACAGGATTAATTATTTTGCTATATAAAAAAAAATCACTCAAGGTAAAATGTTTAATGGTGATGAATTACAATAATGTTACAAAATAATAATTGCAGTACTTTATTTGTGATTTTTTTGTATGTGTGTATGTGTAAAATGCATTGTATATACTCGGTATTTGTGAGTTTTCTTTATTAAAATAATGATTTGATACAATATATATTATTTTTTTTTTTAAATAAAATTATAATAGAAACATATAAGGTGTAATAAAACGAATGAAATTAGTTTTAGATTCCGTTTATGTCCAAGGACAATACAAATAAAATATAATACGTTATTTTTATGTTGCAGGTTTATTCTATTTTTTATTTTGTTTTGTTTTATATATATTTTAAACTCAGATTTTATACGGTTCAAAGTAAAATCGCCTAAAAGATTACACTGTAGAAGTACGTATACAAAAAAAAAAAAAACATATAATAATTAAACGTCAGATTATATTATACGCATATTCAAGACTGCAGTTACTATCAAAAGAAAAATAATGTTTGTTTTTTTTTTGTATATATATATATATAATATACAAATATCTTCTTTTATTCGGATTTCTAAATACGGTTTTTAAATTTTATTATAAGATATAAGAAGAATAATATAATGAACTTAATTATGCATATGAAAAAGAACATGCCGTATACTGATAGGTAGTATAATATTTTATACTTTCTGATTTTACACCACAAAAGGTTTGTACATGCGCACGTGGTACCTCTCTAATGTGTGTTTATATACATTAATTTTGTTTTCCAACTATTATTTATTAAAAAAAACAAAAACAAACCACAAAAATCGTCTTAAGTGATATATACTAGACAGTCAAATAAAATAAATATTAATACGAAGACAAATTTATTAGTTATTAACATGCGATTATCATAATTGATTATATTCATTTAAAAAATTACATTTTACAATTCTTCGGGCTATAATCGTTCATTTTATGATGAATTCAAGTGATTAAAAGTTATACTTGATTCCAATACTAATTTTAGCATAATATTTTGTTTTGAAAAATCAAGAAAGAGGAGAGGGTTAAACTTTTAACTATCCCACAAACCCCTAAGTGAAAATGGATGTATCAAATTGTGCAATTTGTAAAAAAAATTGCCTTTTGGGCTTCTCAACTTTCAACCGCAACACCTACCATTTCTATACTCAAATTTCATATTTTTTTTTTTATAGAATGCAATATTATAGTATAATTAATACTATTAATATTACTATTAATTTAAATTTTACCAGGAATATTTCTCGAATACAAAATGGATGCAAGAAAATTTGACTGTAGTACCTATAAGAACTCTGCTACACAGGTACTATTTTTTACTCATTCAGTCAATACAAATCTCTAATTATTATACTAATTAAAATGTATTATTCAAAAAAGAACTGGCATACTTCGCATGCGGGTGCAGTCACTGTTGTAGGTGAAAAGTTGGAAAGGTAGGATACAGAAGATAATTTAATGTATATCTGTAAACAACGATAAACCATTGCTAGTGAAAAAACCATTCTGAGCGGAGTTCAATTGATAGTGTTGCTTTGTCAACAATATATATTATGTCATATTACGATAAAATTATTACAACAATGAGCGTTTCCATGACAACATTGATTTTTCAAAAATGATTAAAATAATAACAAAAAATAAATAAAAACGGTTGCCAACGAAAATCTTATTTTTAATCTTTCAATCTTTTTTAATCTAAAGAGAACCAGATTTTCCTCATTGTCTCGAATATTAATTTCCAAAAATGACCTCTTTACCACCCAGAGAACATTTCCTTCTAGAAAAGGTGCTATACTTGATAATTGGAGTATACTTAATATCCTGTACAAAATTATTCGAAAATCGATTGACGACGATATTAAATAGTATTAAATATTATATTATTTATTCGCATAGGAAAAAAAAACCTCAAAACCGGTAGAGGTAAAAAAAAATTAATATTTCACCGGATTAACGGCATTTATACAACATAAACGCATTTGTGCGTGAACGGTATCCGCAGGCCGGTCGAACCGAGAACGATTGGAGGGGAAATATCGAGGGGGGGGGCGGAAGTTATAATAACACGCACGTATAGCCGTATAATTATAACCGTAACGCTGGTCAGCGGTGACTGTCGTTGTCGTACGCGTGCATTTTGCGTGCGGTACACACACCACGCATATTATACACACACGGTTTACATTTTTGCCGTTGTCCGACGGCCGTGGCGGCGAAGGGTTTCCGACGATATATTAGTATACGTGTATGCGCCGCCGCGGCCGCGCCGTCGCCGCCACGCGTATACATTAAAGTCGGCCGTGGCGCCGGGTTTCCACCCTCCCAGCGTGTCGTCGAGCCCTTCCCGGGGGGGTTCTTGAACCCAACAGCCACCGCCGGCCCGTTGCTCTACGGAGAGCTCGCCGCCGCCTTGTTTTCGGGGAACGAGCGCGCGCGCGCCACTGATCAATATTTTTACAATACAATGTACGCCGTCACATAATACGCGCACGCACCACTAACGCTCGGGTGGCCAAGACCGGCACCTCCCGAGCAACGCGAATATAAATGCACAAAATATTATTATATTTGTCGGCCGCCGATGCGCGCCGGGAACAGCGTTCCGAAAACTCGAAACGAGCCACAGCACACTCAAATGGAATCCACAGATCGGTTCGTCCCGAATTTATAGTATCACTAACATAATATTTCCATGATAATCGCTAACAAACATGATGGTACTCTGCGGCTCTTTAATGGTTTACCGCTGTTGACCGGGTCGGTCCAAAAACCTGAAATCTAACCGATGAAATACCACCCCGGATACATAGATAAAACGGCCGCAGTGGCGCCGAACTAATTTTTTGTATGAGTAGTAATAAGCATTAATTAATACCCACCTACCTCTACATGGTATTAAACTTAATACCATAACCTTAACCTTACCACCAATTACCAATTTTTTTAAATATTAATTTTATGAAGTATATGGTATTCCCATAAAGTATTCCTGAATATTTTTGTATCACTTAATATTTTAATGTGTAAATAAATACTTTAATTTGTAATAAACATAGGTAGAAACTATTCATATAATCATTAAAAACCGATATATTGACATTTGACATAGCCAGGAATATATTGGTTTTACTATGATGTGTGTTTTTGTATTATTATTTGATGTCAATAAGCTGTGGTTAACTTTTATTCCAAAAATCTTGCTCCGAAGTATAAAGTGTTGCACCTTTTCTGAAAAGTAATGTTGTCTAGTTAGTGCATTAAAGACGTAAATCTTTTATTTTCTCAGGCGTTTTCAAAGTAATTGTGAAAAACCCAATAGAGAATAATTGGTAAAACGGCATAGACTTACAGCACGCCACAGTGTTACCGATTTCATTATTTTAAGTTTGTATACATGACATTTTCTACCAGAAATAATGCTCCGATCAAAATGATAAGAAACCATATTTGTTATATTCTTAATTTGGTTGGCTAGTCAGAAAGTAGATTTTTGATTTTCCGTGTAGTTTTTTTTAATAATTGAGCAAAACAAAAAAAAAAACCGCAGAAAGAACGGGAAAATGTACAAAAATAATGCTTTTATTATTTTCAATTTTGTTGTTTTGTTGCAATTTAGTTAAAATATTCTTAGAGACTTGAAATGTAGACAAAGAACTTTTATTTATTTTTTCTAGGAAAATTAAAATGTTCAAAACATTTGAGCCATTCATGAGCTATTTATAAATATTATAATTTTGGGAGTTTTTACGTAATTTTTATTCGGTAGGTATTCTTTGGGCAAAATTATTAGACCAAAACAGAAATGCTTGAAAAGAGAGTTTCATTATATAAGTTGTACTTAATTGCCAACAAGAAAAAGTTGAGTTTAATGTAGTATTTTTTTTTTTTCTAAGAATTTTAACATTAAATTTTGACGAAAATCGTAAATATTACCTAAGGTCTTATGATAATATATTTACTCAAAATGAATAACTTAAATCGCTATATATTATCTGAATTAATCAGAGAATTCCATTTATGTCTGTGATACATTTCAAGTAGGGAACGATAGTACGTCACTGGTGAGCACATACCTGATATAAAAGATCTGACCGTATTATAATATATCGCATCCACTCGGTGAAATTGTACATTTCGTGAATTGGAAACGGTTTTTTTTTTTTTTTTACTTCATTTTGTAAAATCCACGGATAAGATATTATTATATATTTATATCGTGCGGCGTAAAATGGAGAAGTACTAACAATTTGATATCGTGTATGTATGGTCTTTTTTTATCGTGTTTGTGGCCAAGTATCTGATGCACTTTGTGAAATTGAACACACTTAAATAGAAAGGCAGGTATTCGTATAATTTTGTTTTTGATTTGATTAATGATGATTATTTTTTTATTTCGTATAATTAAATATACTTTACGTTTAACGTCACGCAATTAGTATATAGTCTACTAGGGTATTTTTGAAGGAAGATTACTGTGTCCAAATGATATTCTATTGGACACCCTGCAGTAAAATTTTTTGCTTATTGTGTGACCAATTGAAAATAAATGGTAAATGAAGTAGAATTACGTTGAATTAGTAAACTTTATTTTATTAACATTGGAAATACTTACGAGCAGGAGGAGGGGTAACTAGGAAAATACTAGGATAAGGTTTGGCTTATCTGCTCCTGAAGCTTTTTTCAATGAAGGGGAATGGACACGCATAGGACATTCACTAAAAAAACGTGCTATAGTTTGCTGGTTAATTGTATATACCTACTTGAGTTTTAAAATCATTACAGAATATCAAATATGAAATTCTACGTCATATATTAATATAAGACACCTATTATCTACTCCTTTAAAATAGTTTTAAAATTTAAAAAAAAAAATGTAATCGAATATATAGGTTTAAAAGAAACTAACAGGTGGTTATAGAATAGGTTAGGTATATTTCAGTGGTTGCTAGATTAGTAATAAATTATTACTAATAATGTGATCCAAAAAAAATGTGTAATGATTATTATTATTAAGTACTGTTTTGACTTTTGAAAAATATCACGATTATTATTTCAGATTAGTCATGTTTCGATAATTTTCCTACAATCGGATATTATGATTATAATACACTTGAATTAGTCATACCTACGTAATATGTTTAAATTGGTAAAATACTAAAATGATAAAAATGCGCCAGTAATTTTATAAATATTAAAAATGTATTTTTAGATTACTATTTGTTCGATTATTAAAATGTTCAACGCTCTTGAACGCGATAATAATAATCAGTGTAAGAAAGAAACGATGTAAATTTAACATTAATTTATTATTATTATTATTATTATTAGATTTCAATGATAATCTATACCAGATCGAATTATAAATTACATTACAAAAATATATAAATTAAACCCACCAAATCCGGCCAAATCTTAATTACACACTGGAGTGATGAAATATTATTAATTTATTGATGACAACATATAATATTATATTATATTACATTATAGCCTGCCCAGTTTTCTAAACTTGCATTATAATTATTGTGCAGCAAATGTCTGTTAAAGCTGTTGTTCTCGTTAAATACTTATTACTACGTAATAATAATAATAAAGGTTGATATACATGGAATGTGACGACACACACGCTGATTATAGCTGATTACACCAGATTACACTATAGTTACTGACGTTCCACCGGATATGCACTTGGCTAGACGTGATTTTTTTTTTTGGACACGTCGGGATATTTAATTACCTTTGCGTTATTCTCGCAATGATAGTTTTATATAACAGACCGTTTATTATTACGATACATCCATTTTACATTTTCAACACGGTTACTTCAAACACGATCAAATAAATTTATTTTATAATATAAGTAGTTACCCACTAATAATTGATAATATAAATATTTAAAACCGAAAAATCCTTGACGGATTTAATTTGTTTTTGAATTTTTGATAGCAATCAACTTACTAAATTTATACCACACAATTTGTATAACTTGTATCATTTGTAAATTTGTTCTGATAGGCTTTATAGACTGTCCTACTAACCACCACTTCTAAGTAAGTATATTCAAAATTTGTTTCAGATAATCCAAAAAAAGACGGACGAATCGCTAACGAAAAACGATTCTGAGCGGAGTTCGATTATAAATGCACTAAAAGGCCGTAATACTTACGATTTTCGTCAAAATTTGATTTTAAAACTTTTATTAAAAACAAATACTCAACATTTTCTTGTTGACCACTAAGTACAACTTATAATGAACCTCTTATTAAATTTTCAAGCATTTCTATTTGGTCTAACAATTTCATCCACAGAGTATCTATAACATAAAATCTCGCAAAATTAAAAGGTCTATAAATGGCTCAAATGATTTTACAATTTAACTATGTCTTTAAAAGGGCAAATATAAGGTTTCTGTATAAATTTCAAGTCCTTATTAACGTGTTTAAATGAATTACAATAAAAAACAAAATTGAAAATAATAAAAGCATCGTTTTCGTAAATTTTACCGCTTTTCCAGATTATTTGGAAAATCAAAAAATACAATTTTTAAGGAACTTTTTTAAGGAAAATTTCCTTTCAAAAAAGGCGCTACACATGAAAGAGCAAAATTTCTGGTGGAGTATTGTACATAGTATAAAAAAAAATAATTGTAAAAACAATACACTCTTCGCTTCGCTCGGAATCTAAAATTCGACATTTACTTACATACTTTGAAGTTTTGACTATATTTTGCCAATTGTGTGATTTTATCGTTATTTTATAGCTACTATTGTCTTCTCAAAAATAACTAAAAACTATCTAAATTAATAACTAATTTTTATTTTTTTCATATTCATTACAAAATTGTAGGTATATTTTGATATTTTTCATGCATATTTAAGCGTTTATAACAAACTTTTTTAGACATACAAGTTACGAATCTTGTCTGTAACAATAATCGATTTTCTTACACGATTGAACCACCACCAATGGGCAATATCAATTACCCCGCGTTTTGTTTGACACTATTCTATTTTTCTAAAAATTCATAATAAGTGAAAATAGTGATATCTTAGTGTTATTGTTAAAACCCGGTACAAATATTATTTTATATAATATAAAGTATATAGGTAGAATTTTATACAAATGAGGTTATTGGACATGGATTTACAAACCCAATTCGTTTTGCTTAAACTCTCTATACCGTAATTTAATGTTTAATGTCTTGTATACCTAAACTACTGTCCAAAATAATATCACTAGAAAACAATATAATTATTATTATTATTATATTCGGAATCGTCCGTTCGTTTTCCGGCCAATGCACTCGAGTAACCACAAAACTACTATGCACCATTGAATACCTATCCACATTTCCCCGCAGAAGTATAGTTTGTTTGTTTCCATTTATCATATTTTCAATTCGGTACCTGTATTATAGAGAATAAAATATAGTTGATAGTCGAAAAACTGTGTGTACTCATTTATTATGTAGATTGTGATTAAATAAAAATTCTAAAACTTCTAAAATTTAAACAACTATCCAGACTATGTTAGGCATGGGCAAGTTCACGATTTCTTCTGTGTATACCTATATAAAACTATTATAATCTATACCTAAGAAATTTTGAATATATCGTTTGCCCAATGGCGACACACCATAATATGCACGTTCAGAAAAGATAATATTATACGAACGATGACAGCAATAATTAGACCAGTATACACTATATTTATATTATAATCTATAACGCCTCGAGCTGTCCCAACAAGTTCCATTCAGGTGTCACAGGACTACACCGCGATGATGATAATGCTATTATTATTATTATATTAGTATATAAAACACGATGAAAGAACAGAAAGACGACGGAAAAATAAAGTAACTTTGAACTCGGAATATTATTATAATCTGCAGAATCACGATTGCCGCCTTGCAATAAAAAAAATACAACAATGATACTAAAAAAATATTAACAACCAACTAAAATTACTCGAAAATACGAACTTTCCAGATTAATTTTTGTAGAATTTCTCTATTAAGATGAATACGTCATAAACCTACCACCCGTTTAACTGTAAAAACCGTTTTACGCGGGACAACTTTTCTCACACCAAATGTATAGCTGTACAAGTAGTATAAAATTGCTAAAATTTAACAATACATAAAGAATAATATTTTTCATAGCATTATCATATTAATTTTACTTGTAAACTATCGGTTTTTTCATTTAATTATTAAAAAATTAACTGTCCCACACGGCTTTAAACACGAAAAATATTGAACAGAAAAAAATTAAATCGCCTGTCACTTGGGGTAGTGTAGATTTCTATCAGTGAAAGAACCTTCAGAATCAAATCACGAGTTCCAAAGATTAACTCCTAAAAACATACAAACATCTTTAATAATAATAATAAATAAAGATATTGGGTCGGATACAATGTTGTCGAAAAATTAAGCACACTACGATAAAGTATGATATAGATAAAGTACTGAGATTGGTACCTAGACAGTAAGTATACTTCGTAATAACAGAATTTCGCTAATTTATTATCATAGTATACTATGATTTATGCCCTATAATTTGTAGTTGGTACCAATCACTACAACCGATCATTTGCGAATATTTTTTGTGGACAGCTGACCTACGGTTATCTAATGTATGAAAATCGTTTATCCGGATTATGTATATGTTAAGTTCACATGGATAAAAAATCGAAAAACCTAATTTAAACGAAAAAGTTGTTGATGAATTTAAGAACAAAATTACAATTTGTGTTCAATTATAGTTACTATAATTACTGTACAATTTAATGTTATATTATAATAAGTACATTTAACGATTTTTGAAAATACACATAATACATTAATAAGTGTTTGATTATTAATAAAAAATTAAGGCTGTCCCCCTGAATTTTCACCTCCCACGGGCACCCTTCCACAGGGCCACTTTTTAATTTGTTTGCAACTGCATTTGAATATTTTTAAGAAGAACAATTTTCATTTGCATGTTACAAACATGTTGTAAAAATTGCCTATATGTAACCCCGTAAATATTGAAAGTGTGTGATACATTATCTTCATATTATTCTAAATGAAATTCATATTTTAGCAAAAAAAATATCGCTGCTATAGTGACTTATGAAATATACGTGATACCCGCATGTACTATGTCCGTCTTATGTAAATTTGCGGTCAGCCACGACTACTTTGTGCTATGAGTTTTAATAATAGAGTGAATTGACATATCATCAAACTTAAAGATGAGAACGTTATCTTTTTAACGTTGACGTTTTATTTTGGATATTTCAATTTTTACGTGAGATATTTGTATTAGGTATTAAATAGGAATATTTCACAAACAAATACCTGCTATCTTATAATTTAAAATTTTGAAAAAATAAAAAACGGTAGCGTTGCACACGCAGTTTTTTTATCTTTAAGTTTTATAATAGGTAAATTTACAACAGTAAATCTAACAGCACAGTATTCTCCTTATTAAACGCAAATTGTCTTGATCTCACATCTATAAGACGGAAACAACACATACGCGAGTATCACGCCCTCTTAAGGCATTAACCAAACTAGTAAAAATGTGTAATTCGTCTAGGATCTATACACTATAGCCTATACAGTATACCATAGAACATGCACTTGTACAATTATAGCGACTGTAGTGCCACAGCTGACGAAATTTTGAAACAAGTTATATTTTATAATTAGACACTAAACTCACGTTAGGTTATTACTGATTACGTAGGTATTTCTCCGGGTATTTCGGCATAATGTTGTCGTTATCTAAATCGACACAGTATCTAAAGCAATCATTATTATCGTATAATAAGTATAACGTTATATATGTAACTGGAAGAGAAATATTATACTCATAATTATAATAAGTAGATAAGACATTCGAGCGACTTGTTTTGAACAGTCGATATTAGGCATAATATTATTATTTTTTAGTCGATAATATTATTATTAATTTACGTGGGACGCCCCCCCAAAAAAAAAAAAATAAAAACCAGTGTACACGCATATTATTATTATTTTAATCTACCAAGGTCAATGTCGCACATGGACGTTAAAATATAAAGAAGAGTTGAATCGCCGGATAGAAAAATATTATCGCAGCCAGGTGGTCACCTGGGCAACACCTGCGCCCGCGTCTTTAACAATAGACCGATATTTTCGGACGCAGTATAGCTGGCGCAGCAGTCGGCCGGCTGGTATATTTGGCCAATTTACAGTGATTTCGTTAGGGACAGTAATATTTTACACGTCATAAAGATAATAAAAAAAAAAATTTATAATGAGGCCCGGTGCGTTTTCCGGCTCAAAAATACGCCTTACGGGAAAAACTCTCACGGCTCGTGGTGGAACGGTCTGCCTTTTACTGATTCATTTCATTTTTATTTTTTTAGAAAAAGCAACTTTGTCTTTCAATATCAAACTTTATAATATGTCAATTTTAAGCTTTTTTTTTTTTTTTACTATTGATTCGAATCAAATACAAAATCTATGTGAGCTGTAGTTGTAATTAAAAAATGGTATCTTATAATATTAAAATGACGAGTTATCTCTATTCCCGTAAAGTCATATCCGTAAAATAAATAGCGCTCCCCTTCAACCCCTCTAACTGGGTATCGGACAGTAGAGTAACCGTATTATCAGTTAAAAGTCATTAAAGTATCCGAGAAATTTTAAAAACAAATATTAAATGTTTACGAAACACTACCGGGCCCCGTAACTAGCAGCAATGGAATATTTATATGAAAAAAAAAATCCCCGGTCAAATTTTACGGTATAATTACGGTAGAAACAAAACATCGTAACATAGTAATAAGTGGTAGCTGATACCTACTCGATAATGTCGTAACGGACCAATAATAAAATTGTCATTAATATTATCGTTATTCGGCCATTTATTACTATCAAAATATTGAATTACATTAATCATAAAACATAAAATATAACGCCGAACGGAAATGCAGGTGAATAGCAACAAATATTTCCATTTCCACTCGTATAATAAAATTAATGTAAAATAGGTACTGATAGTTAAACCACGTTAACTTTTTATGTATTGTCTGATAATATCTCGAATGAGTGATAATTTCCCTAGATAAAAAAAAAGCTATCCCAATGCAAACGATCCCGTCAAACCGTCGAGCTATGTCGACGTCGGACGCAGTATTATTTTTTTTTCCGGTATTAATTCATTAAACACAAATAATTTTCATTCCGGAATAAGATGTTTTTCCGGGATAAAAAGTAACCTGCGTCACACTTCCCGGTCCTCCGTCAGTCCTATTATACGAATTATCACTTCACTCGGTCGTTTCATTGCGACGGGAAAGAATGATAAACCAACACACTTTCGCATTTACAATTATTATTAATCTATAGTGGGTATAGTATAAAATCCCCGATCTATTAATAATATCTTTATAATTTTACCTAAATCGTAAACATGTAAATAACGTCGAAAACTTCCTAATTTTTCTTTGGTTGTTTTACAATACTGGTTTTGGCCATCTATGTAGTACAACAACCGTAGGTATGAGAGGAGACGGTATTTCATCGAGGGGAAACGGATACAAATAAATTACCTTATAATAAATGCATGTAGATAATGTATAAACTACTTCTGGCGCATCCGTTTCGCCAATACTTATAATACGAGTAAAAACTACCAATAATCATTGGATAAATACAATAAACATGAAATACGGTGAAAAAAAACTCAACGGTAAGACGTTGGTGAAAAAAGACATGACGTGATGACCATGAAAACCATCTTGTGTATTACATATTTTTTAATTTTTTTTTTTAGTGCTACGGATAAGAAACGACCGAGAAACAAATACACAACAGAATAACACCATCACCGGCAGCATCCAAATTCATTCGTTTATTAGTCAATTATCGCGGCACATCGTAGGGGCGAGTGAGTGGAATAGAAGCGGTTTGAGTCAGAGGAAGGGGGCGGGGGGGAGACGGGCACGTAGGCAAGTAACGTAGTTTAATTAAATAAAAAAAAAAAAAACTAAACGAACCATGATGGACAAAATATTCCGAACGCACCAACGTTACGTTCTACAATTCGATTTTATCGTTTCGTACCAACAACGAATACCTGCGCGTGTAAAAACCGAGATGAAAATTTAACGTCGGATTTATAGGTATAGGTAGGTCGCTATGTGTAGGTACGTAGGTAGATGGATAGATATAACAATGGGGTGGGTTTTTTTTTTTTTTTTTTTGGAGCGTAAAATACGATCCGGTTACCGCGCCATCTCTCGTGTATTAGGGGCGGCGACGATTTGGCGAAGGTCTTTTGTGTCCACAGGTACCCAGGTACCTACCTCACTGCCGCCTATACAATATAATAATATAACATCAGAAACCTATACACGAGACCTACTACACAGACTTTGAATTTGATTTTTTTTTTTTTTTTCCGTTTACCGAAAAACACCTGGCCGAGGCTACACAACAACCTATCTATAAATATAGGTAGGTATATTATATGTGCCCGGTGGTCACGGTCCATTGGGGGGGCATTGTATATTATTGTATACCTTCACACAGTGACGGCGAATACCGGTTATTGCGTCTCCACGCCGGCGAAGTACTGCACCGCCGACGCCGCTGCGTCAACAGCACTTTTACCCAGTTTCTTTTTCTTTTCATATTAAACGCTACCTATACGACACGGATGATCTTTTCGGTGGTTGTGAGGAGGGGGGCCCGGTGCAAATCGGTCCGTACCTTCGATTTCCGGCCGTCCGCGCGAATTCGCCGTCGTCGTCACACGTCATGACCGCAAGGCGCAATTCAAAATCGTAATTTTGCAGATACCCACCTACCTAATCTTCGCTCGGTAAAATTATCCGCGGCTTAAATTATATTATTTTACTTTTCCTATAACGGTTATAACACATGACGCGCGTATTACCGTTGCGTAATATCTATGCGAAAATTACGCAAATTGCGGAAGCGACCGTAACATAAAAACAAAATAGAACATGTATGTGAAAAATATAATAACCCGACGACGCGCATGATTATATTAATGTATTATACGGTAGCGTAGAGCAGGGAGTCCCCTATCGTAAATTAGGAGGTAATGAAATTATTGACGTTAACCGTTCAAAACCGGGAGACCACCGGTAGGTACGGTCTTCGTCCATTTGGAAAAAAATATATATATGTACCGACAAAATTCGATTTCTCGTTCGGCGCGTCTATAAATATTAATTTGTAAGTAGGTACGAGTATACCTACCTATATAGTTGGTATTTTACCGGTAAGCAGGACGTAAGTATCTATTGATTTGAAAAAAAAAAAACCTGTTTGACAGTATTAACAGTAGAGATTCGCGATAGATACCACGATAGCACGAATTTCACCGATTAATAATATTAATCGATTCCCGATAAAATATCGCATTCGGCAAAGTGCAAAATATTGTAGATAATATTATGAGTGAATGCGATTGTAACCGCCAAACTTACCTCGGAAAAATCGGAGGTCCATGCTAACGTATCGATGACCGTCTTGTCGTTGCCGTTTAAGCTCAACGCCGCAAACGCCGAGCCACAAAAAAGCACAGAGAAAATCCCGGACGCGATAATAGATTTCATTTTGAAATCACCGACACGATCCCGAAAAATAATTTAAAAATCACAAGTAAGAGAACGTTTAGGATTTTTTCGCTATTCAATACTATTCCTCCGGTCTACGATACACGCGAGAATCAAAAAAACAAACGTAATTAAAACGTACTGCTAATTCCCGCCGAAAGACAATAATATTTTTCGACTTGGAAAACGGTTGCTGGACGCGCACGGACACTACCGGGCGACTACTCGACGCGGACACACTGGTGGATTGCACGAAAAAACCGCGGGACGGACGAGACCGGTGCTGTTGCCGCGGGATCGGTACAGCGTCTGCTGACGGCACCCGGCGAAACTATGAGGTGGCAGGCGGGCCAGCCAGTTCGGATCAATATTTCCCTTCACCGACCCGGCGCGCTGCATTTCGTTTCGGTCGAGTCCGCAGCCGCCTCTGCCGCCGCGCCCCACCGACGCGCACAGCGACGACCGGTAGCGATGGTGATATTACAAACGGTCGTTACGGTGTGACCGTTATGGCGGCAGCCAGTGTCGTACCCGGTGAATATATATTTTATAGCGCGGTACAACATAATACTGTTATCACCCAAGTTTAGGCAAATACTATAAATGACAGTGCATATTTTACAGTATTATTTTACAGAATTTGGTTTATCGACAGTCCCGGTTTTAATGGCATGTCCCGGCTGGTCATTCTGCAGGTTTTCCCGGTTAATAGAGGCTGCGAGCGAACTTTTAAACAACACTTGATCGGGTAAAAGGGGCGTGATGAATACAGTACGGTGAGACCTGATGGTCCGTAACGTGAATTTTGGTTTGACTTGTAAACGAATGTTACGAATAAATTAAGAACGATGTAAAACTCAATTGAAGAAAATGGATTCAAGTGAATAGTATAATATAATCAATAGACAATAATTAGCAATGGCAGTCAATGTATAAAAAAAAATAAAATGTTCGTGTTCCGGTTTGGAGATTTGAAAATCTGGCAACCCTATATTAACGCGACGCCCGGATTATCGATTGTTTGCGCCAAACGACGTACAAAGTATAGGTAGGTAGGGTAGGTAGGTGCATGATGAATGACGAATCACGTAGAGAAAGTTTGGGAAAGCTTCCCCGTACTTATAGAATACACTATACAGGGTGATTCTTTTATCACCGAACACTCATTGTTTCGCAAAGTTTAAATACATTTTTATGATGACATTTTTTTTGTTTCAGTCCCGTTCACGGGATATTCCACTTTTATGTATAGGTAGGGGGAGAGTAGTGGAGCACTATTCAAACACCACGCGCCGTGCCGCTACTCTGCTACTTTTCCCTACCGAAATTTAAAAATGGAATATCTCGTGAATGGATTGACGGAAATCAAAAATTTTAACACTGACATGTATGTCCAACACTATATCTATTTGTGGAACTTTTTAATTAAGTTGCCATATTTGAAAACCATAAGTTGGTCGTCGGTTCACCCCCCCCCCAAAAAAAAAAAAATAATAAAGGTTCAAAAAAATAATGATAAAATAAAATTTTAAAACTGCTTGTTTCTTTTTTTTTTTAAGTCATTAATTTGAAAAAAAATAATGAGTGTTCAATGATAAAAGAATCGCTCTGTATATAGGGTAATATTTTTCCTCTTAAACTTCCCTCGGCCATATGATAAAATTACGTCATAACCACTTACATTGTATCTATTATATTTTTATAGTTTATCTATAAAATGGTACCTAAACATTAATGGAAAAGCTCAGTTTTTCTTTCACTTACCGGTCAGACAATAAAGACGTCATCATCGACTTTATAAACCTGTACCTACGCTACAAAAATAATATACCAAAGCCATCTACTAGAAAATTGTCGACAATAATATTTCCATCGCCGGAAAAATATCTACGCCGCCCAGTACTGTTCGTGGAAATGTAAGAAATAAAATTGATTCGTCGATTAAACCGTAAGAGAATACAAAAAGTTACGTCTAAACCGAACACCGGTGTAATATTATTGTATTATTATCATCCGAGTATAGCTCAGCAGTTATGTATTAATTTATTGTTTTTATGTGAACCGTTGATAACGTTACATAAATATTTTCTGGCTTTTCTTTTTCTTTCTTATTTTTCCGTTAAAATTGTTTTTGATTTACGTACTCAAGTACGTATATAAATATATTTTATATTTTACTATATAATATATTGTATAATACATTATAGCCAATGAGTAATCGTTAAAGCAAAATTTAACTGACACCCATAATGTGAACCAATATACCTATAAACATTTTTTGTTTGTATTATTATACATTTAAGTAAATAATGGTTCTTTAAATTTGAGATTGAGTGTGGTCTATAACTAGAAAAAAATATTTTCAAAACAATTGATCAAAAAATTATGCCACCAAATATGTACCAACATACTTCAATAAAAAATGTTATACTTATATTTGGAATTGGAATATTTTCAGAAAAACTGTTCGAAAACAAATTGAATTGAATTAAATTTTCTATCAAACACAACGTAGATTTAGCCGGTACAGGTATTTTGTATTTTAATTTTATTTATTGTTCAATTATTAGAAAATAATTATAATAATTTTAACATGTAAGTTTATTGATATTGTTTTAATTTAAATTTATCCGTGAAATTGTTGGTATACTTGTATAATAATTTGATACGTAGAAGTAAATAGCACAAAGACAAAAAAAAAATACATTTTGCTCTTTTAAAAATATATATGAGTAAAATTGACACTTAAAACACTCATCGTTTTTCACTCTTATCTAACCTTTGTTCGTATATAAAGAGATTTTGAAGCACTCTTTAGTTCTCCGCTATACCAACTTAGCTATAGTAGCTACTGTTATGTCTATAACGTGACAATATGATTGAAAACTCGTATGCCGTATATACAGTTTTATAAGTTAAGTTTTATTTTTATTCTACTCTCAAAGTTAAACGCGAACTCTGCGCACAGTCAAAAGCCGTGTTTTGAAATAATAGTAAGTATACATTTTGTGTATTACATCTACATAATAACGTGAACAATTTATTAATTTAAATATAACTTTGTATATTATATACTTTAAGTACCTACTTAGTTTGCATATATGTAACTTCTATTATTCACTGTGAAATGTAAATGACGATAACACGAATTAACTAAACTTTTTAAATACACAAATTATATTTTACACGGGTACGTATGTATTTTAATAGTATAAAGTAATTACGACGAACATATAAATACATATTATAATGTATATTTTTTAGAACACTCTTATTTGTTTAATAATCGTCTTTTAAATTTAAAGATAAGTATTTACATGAATAGCTCAGATTCTGAGCGAAGCGAGGAATTTATATTAGTTTTACTATTTTTTATTTTTATGTTCACCAAATTTTTCTTCCAGAAATCTTCTTCCGATCAAAAACTTTATGGCAACTTTCTTGTACCTATGTAGTTATAGAATTTTTAATGTGGTTAGTGTATTTAGGCGTACATGTTTTGAGTTTCCTTGAAGTTCTTTTTATCAATGGAAAAACCTGGCGATTGATTGTACAATTATTTTGTTGATATCTGGTATACCTCGGCGACGAGGGAAATAGTAATACCTACTCCTGCAGACGCGGCGTTTACTACTTAATAATAAAACTACCTATGAATAATAATTTCTTTCAAAGAGCTGTAAAAAAGTTCAGAGTATTAATAAATAAAATTATAATCACGGCTTCTGAAGATAGTTGTGCTATCATATTAAGCGGTCAGAAGTCACATTGACTGACTGAAGTCTGGTTATGTTAGTTAAAAGTATAATTTTTGGACCAAAATGATATTGAATAACTCTATAAATCATTCTATCTATTTCCCATCTAAAAAGAGTGGCCTGCTGATAGATGTGCCACCTTTCAGCCTTTTTAAAAATAGAATCATATAATATGAAAAATTAGTTTTCATCTTATATTTTTATATGCAAATGATAAAATTTGATAATTTGCATATTACTTTTTGTATAATTGCAAGTATGAAAATACCTAATTTTCCTAACAGCAAACAAAATGGGATCGTATTTGAGTATAAATAAGCAAAATAAAATATCCGGACATACTTCGTATATGGGTGGGCCACTGTAGTAGGTGAGAGGTTGAGAAGGTAGTAGCGGGAAAATGTAATGCATATCTGTAGGCAAAAATTAATCATTGCTGACGAAAAAACAATTTTGAGCAGAGTAGGGTTGAGTGTTGCTTTGATAATAATATACATATCATATTGTGTAAAATAATTACACATATATTAAACATATTCTTTAATAATATTTGTTTAATATTGTACTTATTTTTCCGTTTTTCCTTTGTTTTTTCTCGGTTTTTTTCATTTTTTTGGTAAAACTCCAGAGAAAATAAAAAAAAAAAACCACTCTAAAGTCCATCCCCAGACAAAGAAAAATGCTATTATTGTAAACCGGGGCAAAATTTCTAGTAGAAAAGTTGTCCACAAAAAAAAATTTTAAAAATAAACATCATTGTAAAACCAATACATTTCTCGCTCTACTCAAAATCTAACAAATATTATAATAATTATTTAATTATAATGACAATTTCTTCAAACCAAATATGATGCGATTAACAAGAAATAATAATATTTTGAATGAGTTTAATATAGGTAATAATGATAATAAAATATTATTGTTAATTGTACCTGATAATAACATCAAATCACGTTTTTTTAGATGATAGATTGGTCATTTTTTATTTCTAAGACTTATTATAAATGTATGTTTAAAATTTTTTTATATCCACTGTTCGAATTTAAAAATTGCATTGAAATAATTATTAGGTAAATACCTAGTTATAAACGCAGCTATATTTCCTGAAGATAGGTAAGACGGCGCAGTGCTTTTTATCGAATTATAAATTTATAAATATGATGGACAGACGAATAATAATTGCATTACTCCTTTTTGACACGTCCACCACGATTGAATTATTATTTGCCAAATAATATTTTTAGCTGTATGGTGTAATTTTAATAGAGTTATAAAATATTTAAACTTTAAGACATCCATACCTCTTACTATTATACCCATATCATAATGTTAAATGATAATATTTGACAGTTATGAAAACTAATGTTTAGAAAATAGCAAATAGTTTTAAAACTTTTATTTAATATATATCTATAATAACTGATATTTAAAAATATGGACATACTTCACACCATGGGTGGGCCACTGTTTTAGATGAGATGTTGGGAAGGTAAATACAGAGAGGAATTGTATGTATATCTTAATTATTATGAAAACCACTTTGAAAATCCAAAAATGACTTCCCTAAT